ATATATTGCTAGATGTAGTTACCCTCTCCACACACTCTTAGAAGAAAAGGTTCTATATAGAACCTTAAAAGGTTCTATCAGCGCTACATATATGGAACCCCTAAAAGGTTCTATACACTCTTAAAAAAAGGGTTCCTCTGGGTAGAACCCTTGGCCAATAGAACCTTTTACCAAAAAAAAAATGATTCTATATAGAACCATTTTGGAGTTCCATATATGAAGCGGGGGATGGAACCATTTCTGGTTCTAAATAGAACCATTTCTTCTAACATATGAAGTGTACATTGACTGTAGATCACATTATGCTTGACAGCTTCGCCAACACTGACCCGTCCTGCCCACGTCGAGCTGCACAACACACACACACACACACACACACACGAGTGTTCACAGTACGGCTAAAGAGAGACATTTAGCGCGCAAGAAAGGGCCAGACAGTGCATGTGAACATCTTTTGTTCTGAGAACAGCTCCATCAGTGTTCCCGCACAACTCCACGACGTCACGTCCAGGAATGTTTCCATTAAACATCAATTTTATCATTGTCAGTGTTTCCCACTCTCTGGAGAACTCAGACTGCATGAACAGATCCTGACCAGCGGACTCAAGGGGAAACTCAGCATTGCTGAATGAGATTCATATTCACATTTTATGCACTTCATTAAAAAATGAAGCTGTGATGAACTCACTTCACGTTTTTTCAAATATGGGATTTTCTGGTGATGATTTTAGAGGAAGGGCATCACAGTTTCCAGTGTGTCTGAAGCCTCGCTCACGTGGTTTAGAAGTCATTGTTACTGGAAGAAGAGCTAAAACTGGATTCAACGTGAGGAAAATCGTGTCATTAATGCCTTAACTAAGAATAAAGCACAATGTCTAATGTGCTTTTCTTCAATGTACTGCATTTATTATCGTTTTTGCGACTGGTTTGTCATTAAAATCACAACTGACATCGCCAAGAAAGAGTTACAGTAAACAAGTGAGGCTATTATGTGTTTAATCTTCCTTAAAGCAAAAAGATTTGTTTATGAAAGATTTCTTTCAGGAAACACCACAACCTCATTGCAGCTATAGCATAAACTAAAGCACATGATACACCAGTATTCGATATTCACACAATAAATCATTGTGTTGATCATAGTTTTAAACGTCCGTAGAAAATGTTATTATGATTCATCTCTCAATTTCCACAGAGAAGGGTTAAAACGTTTTACTAATAGGCACATTTTGCATTATTGAATGAAATGATTGTATTTTCAAATACATGCCATCAAAAGCAATATATAGATATGAAGAGTTCAGATGCAAAAGCCTCTAAATGCCATTTGAAATTTTCTTCTTTAATGATGATTTTTATCAAACTTGTATATTTAAGTTCAGTGATTTCACTTAAATGGCAATGATAATTACCTATTAATTGTTATTTAAGTGAAATTACTGAACTTAAATATACAAGTTTGATCAAAATCATCATTAAAGAAGAAAATTTCAAATAGCATTTAGAGGCTTTTGCATCTGAACTCTTCATATATTCATTTGTTATCCCTCAATATGGTCTGCCTCTGCTTCCCCAGCACTAGTCGACAGCCAGGCTTGTTAACGGCGACCAATAAACTAGCTCTGATAACCTCTGACCTCTAGTCACACACTCCTGACACACAAAAAAAGAGGACTTTTAACATCGCTGATTTGTGATTCCAGAAAATCAGGAATTTTTGGGTGTTTTCAACACTGTTCGTGTCTGTCAACCAACACAAAAACAGCTCAAATACAGAAAAACTAAAGATAAAGAAGACAAATAATAAAGATAAAAATGTATTTGTCAAGAATATTGCCTGCAGAAAGCAAAACTCCCAGAATCAATGACCCTTAATCATATGACTGCAGCAGCCTCACACACACACACACACAGCTGACTGTGAGCTTATGTCCTCAACAGCTGATAGACTCTCTTCTGCTACAAATCACCAGAAACAGACACTCAATAATCATCATATTCCTGATGTGTGTGTGTTAGCTCGACCTAAACACACGACTAATGATCATAAGGCCATTGTAAATGCATGAAGCATTCAGAGACACAACACACCGATCAATAATCACAATTTCACAATGGGCTTAAATTACAAACATCAGGAGCAATTTACTATTTAGGTTTCATTTATTACCATGAACTAACAATTATAATACTTCTAATACATTTATTAATCTAAATTTCAGCATTTACTAATACATGATTTAAATAAAAATATGTTAATGTTATTTAATGATCAATAGTGTAACAAATGCATTGCTCATTGTAGGTAAATATTTAACTTGTAGTGTTACCCAAAAATCTATAATACATAAACAGAGTGATATCTGTAACTAATATATATTTGTAATAAAATTTCTGCCAAACAGAAATGCTTTGTGTTATATACATTATACAAAGTAACCGGTTTCTGAATTTGCACTTAGGGAAGAAAAATAAGGACAAATGTAGGCTATTTGAAACAAAATAAGCATGCTGACTTGCACTAATTGAACATTTTCAATGTTTAATATTCTGCCAAATTTGGATTTATGTCGAATATTATATATTTTCAATATATACTGAATATTTTAGAAGTGTAGGATTGATGATTTTTTTTATTAATGAAAATGAGTGAAAATGAACGCCTGAAAATTATTTATTATTTTTTATTTATTATTATTATTATTATTTATTTATTTAGTGCAATTCAACATGCTTTGTAAACAACGACCCTCACATGTACCGCTGGCGTTCTGACACCGTTAACTCTCGCGCTGCCCATCGGGAACGACAGGGTTATTAGGCAAAATCCCCCCCGTTTCTTTCACAAACTGAACTGATTCTTTACCTTTATACTTCTCGAGCACATCCTCGTACGCCTGGAGATACTCCAACTCGTCGGCGAGCATGTACGGAGCCGGTCCGTAACGGGCCATTACCGGAGCGGTCGAGACTGGTCATTTACCGAACTGAAGCCCTGCCCGAGTGACCGAGCGAGGGAGCGATCAGCGCGGTGACCGGCGACGCCCCTGCCGCCCGCCTACATCCACAACCCGGCCAATGAACGGGCTTCCTCCCTTCAGCCGGTCTCTCCGCGTGCGCCCGGTACGAGGACGAGCTGTGTGTTATATCAGTCACTGTCGTTTACTGTGTGTGTATCATCACTCCCAGAAATAACAAAAATCTGTATGATATGAGATTTTGCAGGCTAATTTTTTTTACAAATTATAGCTATTCTTTTTGACACTGTGCAACGTGCTGTTCAGCATTCATCCGGAATGCTATATATATATCAAATATGCGATATATGCACTTGATAATGTGTCATCATCATGCTCATGCACAGTCATCCTCTATTTTCGACGCGCGCTCCTGTTCACTGGCTGCCATGTGTCTGTGCGCGTGCACGTGCTCTCCAAGGTCCTAGAACCAGAAGATTCATGATTCCTGTCCTCGGCTTCACACAGGGAACATGATGAGCCTCAAATACTGTCTTTACCACATCTCTTCCAGCAGAAGCAGAGCAATCCGAACTCCCATAACACTTCAGCCCATGCAGCTCTCTTTCTAATCTCACAATGCATGTTATTTTATCTGTCTATTTATTATTTCTCATAGAAATACCAAATGATGAACTGCAGACTGTTTGTATAGGCTACGTTTTTAGATAGATAGATAGATAGATAGATAGATAGATAGATAGATAGATAGATAGATAGATAGATAGATAGATAGATAGATAGATAGGACAGACAGTTAGACGGATGGATGGATGGATGGATGGATGGATGGATGGATGGATGGATGGATAGAACAGACGGACAGACGGATAGAAGGATAGATGGATAGATGGATAGATAGATAGATAGATAGATAGATAGATAGATAGATAGATAGATAGATAGATAGATAGATAGGACAGACGGTTAGACGGATAGATAGATAGATAGATAGATAGATAGATAGATAGATAGATAGATAGATAGATAGATAGATAGATAGATAGATAGATAGATAGATAGATAGATAGGACAGACGGTTAGACGGACGGACAGACAGACAGACAGACAGATAGATAGATAGATAGATAGATAGATAGATAGATAGATAGATAGATAGATAGATAGATAGATAGATAGATAGATAGATAGATAGATAGATAGATAGATAGATAGATAGATAGGACAGACGGACAGATGGATAGATAGATAGATAGATAGATAGATAGATAGATAGATAGATAGATAGATAGATAGATAGATAGATAGGACAGACGGATAGACGGATAGATGGATAGATAGATAGATAGATAGATAGATAGATAGATAGATAGATAGATAGATAGATAGATAGATAGATAGATAGATAGATAGATAGATAGATAGGACAGACGGACGGACGGACGGATAGATAGATAGATAGTGTCATCGCTGTTAAAATTGAAGGTTCTTTATTGGCATCGATGGTTCCATGAAGAATTTTAATGGAATCTTTTAATTCCACAAAAGGTTCTTATTAAAATGTTCTTCTGGTCTTTTAAGAACTTTTCTCCAGTGTTCTTTGAGTAAACCCCAGAGCACTGAAAACCCTCTAGTTGTGTTTGAGGAGAACACTGCAATGATCCCAGTCTGTCTACAGGAGAGCATGATGTCCTCTCATTCCACACACACACACACACACACACACACACCAGATCGCTGAATCATCTCTCTTTAAAAACAACACAGTCTTCCAGCTACCAAAACACTTTCAGAGCCCATCACGTTCCACTTATTATATTCTCTTATGATGATGTCATGATGATGATGATGACCTGTGGATTTGATCCCGATCACACCCATAACCAGCTAAAGCTCCAGTGCGTTAAACCCCAAACATTTGCAATCGTGTGTAATTGTTTCTCCAGCTCTTGACTGATCAAACAGTACAATGACAGCAGGCCTCGTGATGTTGGATGGATGTGTATGGGATGTTTTGTTTCCTACCCGCGATCCGGAGCACAGCTCTCTCCGCGGGGTCCAGCACGGATCCTCCCTGGATCTTCCGCTTCGACCGCTCGTGTCTCGGTAAATTCCACGGTAACGTGTCTCCCGGTGCCGGTGACACCGAGCCAGACTTCACACTGTACTCTTCATCATCTGAGAAATCCGCCGATGAAGACATGGAGCAGCGCAGGGACGCGTTCCCGGATCCGGAGCTCTGTGTGGAGAGACAATGGAGCAACAATAAATCGCGTGATCGCGAGTAAACCAAACCAACGCGGTGCGCGTAATCTCACCATCACTGATCACAATACACGGACACACACACACACATCGGCTCCAAATCATGATCGACAATAAAACAAAACCCAGACCAGGATCAATCGCATGTGGCTCCCCCAGCAGGACAACAACACTCACCGCTGTGTACATCTCTAAATGATGGGAGAAATCCTACTTCCACTTGCCACTTACACACGGCGATGTCATTTTGGGGTGAACCACACCCTTGTGACGGTATTCCGTCTCGCGTCGAACGGGCTGACCCAAAGCATGAAACAGTACGAAACCTCACAGAGACAGATAGCTACACACAGAGAGCAAAAGAGCAGATTGCGCTGAGGGAGAGCAGCACACACACTCACACACACCGCGTCATCCACTGACACACACACACGGACAGAAGCGAGTCTGGTGTTACAGCGCCATCACGGGACGCGCGCGCACTGACGCTGCTCTCACCACCAGTGGCTCATGTCATTCAGTGTTGATCAAAAATTAATAACTTTATTTAGTTGTCTTTCAACAAATAGACTATATACAACAAAACATTATTTATGACATAATTTACATGTCGACACCATGGAACACAAAAGGAGAAATTGTGCAGAATTTGACTCTTATGAGCTGAAACAACGATCTTCAGTGAGAGCTGCTGTCAAGCTCCGACATTAATGACAACAATTGGATTTTTCAGTGAAATATCTCGTTAATAAATTTGTTTTTGCTGCAATCTTCAATATATTTTCTATGTTTATCCAGCTAAATCATTTTGCATGTAATCTTCTCTGTTTTTGATCTTTGTGAAATCATGTTCTTTATAAGTGTCTAAATTTTGTGAAAAGGCATCAAATAACCTACATTGCGAAAATTGGTGTAGAAATAATTTTCACAAAAATAGTAAAATAGTAAAAAAAAAAAAAAAAGTAAAATAATTACAAACTTACACATAAAAAAAAACTATAAATTAAATGTGCGTGTGTGTGTGTGTCCACAAACATGGCGATATCTAACATCCTTGTCCTTGTTGGGACATTTTTTGGTCCCCATGAGGAAAACAGCTTTTTAATCAGATTAAGAGATGTTTATTGAAAATGTAAAAATGCTGAATGTTTTGAGTGATGATTAGGTTTATGGTTAGAGAGAATATACCGTTTGTACAGTATAAAAGCCATTATGTCTATGGGAATTCCCCATAAAGAAAACACAACATGTGTAAATATCCACAGAAGTAAAAGGTCAGGCACTCTCTCTGGTCTCTTCAATCTGCAACTTTAAGAATGGAGACCGCATGTCAAAGTGTGACTGTGAGTGAACAGGTGCGCGGCTCGCTGTCAGAGAGCTGCTGTAGGCCCGACAGCATGTGCTCGCTGGGGTTTGGAGAAAGAAACACAATACAAATGGTAAAATATTTAAAACAATTCGATATTGACATGTTCCCAAGTTTAACAGAAATGCTTGGGTTTTCCCTGAAGAAGCATTGAAAGACTTCAGTAATATGCAAGGCAACTAATTTCTATAAACTGTTTCAGCAAGGACATATACAATGTTTAATGAATAAAAACACAGAGTATATCATATACATTTGGTTTGTGTCTCTCACAGGGTTAAAAGAATGTAGGACCATTAAAGATAGTAGTCCAGTAAGTCTCACAGATTTACACGTACAAATATCATAAAGTCAGACTACTTTCACTACATTTGAGCGGGAGAGAGAATTGGAACTGGTGTCTGAGACTGGTGCATGAGACTGGTGTCTGAGACTGGTGTCTGGTCTCATGCGCCAGTAATATAGCGGCTGTTTGAGAATGTAAAAGCTCTGCAAAGTTTCAAAGATCAAAGTGCACGACAAATAAAGTTACTGTTTCATAAGCAAGAAGTGATTCTGCTGATAGGAGTCGTCTAACTCCAGTTTCACTTCATGCATGTGTAATGATTTAACTAATTTGCATAATGCCATAAAATAGTTTGAATGTGTAAATTGGCAAGATAAAACACTTCCAAATTAAATTCAAATCAAATGAAACTTTAACTTTATGATGGTTAAATTTAGCAGTTAATCCGTGAATGCGTGCCGAGCCGTGGGTCAACTGGTCCGTACGGGTCACAGATCAGCTGCGATCCGCTCCACCGTGTATCAAGCGCTGAGGAAGATTCAGAATTCAGAAATGATAACGGGATTTTCATTTCCGACACGCATATAAGCGGTCGACCAATCACAACAGACTGAGCCATCCAACCAATCAGAGCAGAGCAGGCCCTCAGAAAGACAGACTGAATCTGCGAGCGAACCGTTTTCAGCCTCTTTGAGAAATGAGGTGATACTGCATTGTATTTTTTATCATGGATGCATGTAAACTTGTTGCAGGAGACAAAAACACTATAGCATAACATGTACTTTAACATACTCGAATGTGTATAATGCATTGCTTCAGAGGAAGCAAGAAAATCTGACGTAATGCACAAAAAGAAAGCTAGACATTTTAAACTAGACATTCAAACTCCAAAATCGTTCTGTGTATTTCTGGGACAAAATGGGGGGAAAAAAATCCCAGATTTGAAAAAAGTTTTTGACTTTGTACTGTAAGTATACATTTCTGCAGTATATACTTTCACATACTGTTGCGCAACACTTTGTGTAATATTGAGTATTCATATGTTCTTCTGATTGAGCATCCAAAGACAAAGATCAAGTTCTGTCGTTAGGTCACACAGATCAGTGTAAGCAGCTTTACAGTATTTCTGGGAATATGTTTAGTCATGCTCAATGCCACTCCGCTGCACGCCATTATAGATCAAACTAGCAGTGCACAGCAGAGCTGAGATGTGCACTGTTCAATAGCAATTATACATTATGTAAAGCTGTTTAAAAGGAAGGGCCTGTTTCAAGATGACAGCCTGAATTCTCATATGCAAAATCACTCTCATCTACATCCTGTTTTTCCAAGTATAAATATCACTTACAAAAGGCCTTTGATCGTCTTCCTGCCTTTCATACGAGTCCTGCCGGTCTCAAGCTGACAGCACACATTCCTGCTGCGTATAATTACATTCAATTTCTGTTCCTTTAATTTACACAAAAATGCAATTACAGAGTTTGTTTTTTGTATCTGGCATATCCTAAACATTATGTGTCAGTACTAAAAGATCATGCAAGCAAAACTACAGACATTGTAGTTCATCATGACTGATGCCTAAAAAAACACATAACTGAAAACCCTTAAATCTCTCTAAGTTTTTATCTAAAATATCTTTATTTGAGTTTCTAAAATAAACACAAAAGTCTCACAGGTTCAGAGTGCAAAATGCAATTCCATCCAAAAATGAAAGTTGGTGCTGATATGCAGATTAGCAGATGACGAATTATGCATAATAAAAGCAGGGTTGTGTATTAAAGGGGTCATAACATGGATGTTTTCAAGCTGAAGTATGTGGAGTAAAGTGAACCTGCCTCTGTGTCTGTGTAGACTGCATCAGGCATTATAATCTCATTAATCTTTTGACGTGACGCGAAGTCAGCCGTTAATCGACTGAACGCCGGTGGGGCCATAGCCAGGCTTTCAGAATCACTGAGGTCCCAAATTTGATCTAATTAGGGGGGTTCGGACACACTGATCAGAAACATTGATTTCTTGATCTACATCTGTCCATTTTGAGACATTTGAAAGCAAAATGGTTAAGAAATAGCTTTAAAAACCACATTATTAGTCAATTCCTGCTCTCTCCTCCTCTCCATCACTCTTTAGTTTTTCTCTCTGTCTCCTTCTCTTCCCCGTCTTTGACTTGATTTTCATATGTGGGACAAATGATGTATTAGCCTACTTAGCCATGGGGTGCCTCAGGGCTCAGTGCTTGGACCACTTCTCTTCTCCATCTACATAACATCACGAGGATCTGCCATTCAGAAACAGGGCTTTTCCTATCACTGCACACAACCGTACCTCTATAAAAAAACTGCCAGCCCAACACTTCATCACGACTTCTCCATCCAGCTAGGCTCATCAACAATAACATTCAGGACGACCAAGAACCTTATGATACATATGGACTGCGTTAGATAGCACTTACATATTGTTGTCCTATATTGTTCTCATTTGTAAGTCGCTTTGGATAAAAGCCTCTGCTAAATTAATAAATGTATATGAAGAGTTCAGATGCAAAAGCCTCTAAGTGCCATTTGAAATTTTGTTCTAAAATGAGCATTTTTATCAAGCTTGTGTATTTAAGTTCAGTCATTTCACTTAAATGACAATTAATAGGTAATCTTCATTGCCATTTAAGTGAAATTACTGAACTTAAATATACAAGCTTGATCAAAATGATCATTTTAGAACAAAATTTCAAATGGCACTTAGAGGCTTTTGCATCTGAACTCTACATATATGTATAGATACCTGTGTGAAGTCAAAAATCCTGCATTATCCAAACAAAATGTTTTGGGGGCTTGTTTAAATAATTTTTTGGATGTTTTAAGACTCTGAAACTTGCAGGATGTTTTAATGGCACATAGACCTCTAATATGTCAAAAGATCAAGCAAATTTGATTTGCCATGTCATGACCCCTTTAAGAAAAAAAAATAAGGTACATATCTCTGCTCACTTTTGCAGAGGGTGCAATCAAACAGTCAAAACTATTTTTTTTATAATGAAAAGTAACTAGACCTATAAGAAAATATACTTTTTTAACATATTACTAATACCCAGCTAACAGGGGCGGTTTCAATAGTGTTATGTAAAAGCTATGTAGGCCTACATGTTAGTTAAAAAAAAAAAAAAAAAACATTATTGAATGGAATTTTCCTTTAACGTTCACAAGAAAAAATGTTCTAAAAAAGACATTTTCAACACTTAAAAAACATTCATAAGTAACGTCTTCATAATGGGAATGTTAGCAAAACATCCTAAGAACATATTTTTATTGGCTGGGAATGATGTCTGAGGTAATGTAATCAGGTATTAGTGATTTATATTTACAGGTCAGTGTTTTCGCTTGCTGTGAGTAAATGTCTTGTAAGTCAGCATATACCTACTGGTTTGCGTGTGGGCGTGAGTTGCACGGAGTGGTAAAACTCAGGCTGGACTCTCTTCTTCACCCTCCTCTTCCTCACGCTCGCGCTCGAGTCAGGCTCGCTCTCGACCAGCGGCTTCTCCTCAGACACTCGCGGGCGCGCGCTTCTCCTCGCATGACGTGGACTGTGACGACATACCTGTCAAACAATGACCATAATATTACTGCATGTCGACTCGGAGTATTGTTGTATTATGTTATGACAATGACGATAACTGTTGTTAATGATTTTGTTTATGTATTTATTTTCTCCAAGCATTTAGCAAAAAATGAGGTTAAGGAAAAACAAATCACTGCATCTCACAAAAACTATGAAATAGCTTATTAAATAGCCCTAAAATGTTAAAACATGTCTGGCTAATTTACTTCTTGGTAACATGACATGTTTAAGCCTGTAAAAAGTAGCATATAATTATTTATCTGTCACACATGCGCAATGCGCATTTCACGCAGTTTCTTAGGATACAATTTCTCCATCAAGATGAAAGTGACTAGATATCTATCAAACAAAAGGGAACATTTAGTGACACTCTCACTGTTTTTTTGAAGGATTTGCTCTACTTTTCTGCTTTCTATGACCTTGACAGATGGAGCAAGAGAAAGATTTACCTCAGAGCGAAAATGATGCGGCCGGAAACCAGCTTCTAGAACAAATGGGAATGATTGAAACAAACCCCACATGCATTCAGTCACATTGTGTCTTAGAGATGCTCTTCAAATAACTTTGTCTGGTCTTGAAATAAAGCACACTTTATTAAGTACACAACAACAACAACAACAACAAACGATGATAAATGAAGGCTCGCGCACTCGCATGCCGCACTCGCGCGCATCGACGACAGTCTCTCTTTAAACCCCAAACGATGCGAAGAATGAATGTAAATGTCTAATACACACTGAGGTTGTGCATGCAGCATGCATGTTAACGCAATGACATGCTAGAGAAACACGTATAGGACATATAATGCGACGCGTCTACTCACCACGACTCCTTGAACGCCTCGTTAGCACAGATTTTATGGGAATTTTCTCATTACGGAGTTTCCGATGCCAGCAACAGAGAAACAGAATCGTGGCGACAGTTCCTAGCAAAAGCAATAACAGCAGTAATACACACTGAATACTTAAGGGTCTCAATAAGACCAAAAAAGCCGCAGCAATCATTGCGATGTAGGACAGCCACTCCTACACGTAGGATAGCTTAGGCTACTCTCCTTATGGAAATACTATGAAAGGCTATAGGCTACTGTGATGCCTCACTTGTAGGTCCCCGACATATAATCTATCTCATGGTGTCTGTACTTCAGTAATGGACCAAAACAAGCCATGACTCAGCAGGAGCCGCTGTTTTTACAGCTCATGCAGGGCATCATCAGCATCAGCATCTGAGCTCAGCAAAGCTCAACACAGCGCCTCTGCCACACTACACCACCAACATCTGCATGCGTCTGCTAATGCCCACGTCATGTGTCTTTATGCACTCTTTACAGGGTCTTTATTGGCATGAGGTTCCATATAAATCAGGCTATAATCAGAGGTATCTTCCGTCCATTTCATTTCCGATTTGAAATGATAGGCCTATAGGCTAAGCAAAAACGCGACTTTATTCGGTTTTTCGTTTGTTTTGTTTTTTTTATAGCCTATAAAAAACGAGCAGACGAGATTGCAGCTTGATTTTTTTTTTTGGTTAACTGGTCAAAAACGAATAAAAGACTTCAAAATCCGTTTTTGCACATGTGGGCGGTCATGACACGCCCCTTTCAGCTGATTGGTCAAGGAAATATGAGCCTGTGACGTCATGAGCAGTATTTTTTAGAGTCTATGCAATTTCCCAGGTCTTGAGAGGGGGGTTCAGCGACAAATCTGCCGCTGACAGCAGACCGTTGTGGTGAAGAGATTAGTCCCACTGAAGACATGGAGAAGATAGCCTATCTTATCTTGCACATAGCAGCGGGATAGCATTCAAGCTACACATAACGCAATATACTGGCATAGTAATGGGGTCCTAAGCTGGGACCCATCACTTCAGTGGGACTCATGGGATCAAAATCCCATATATAACGCTAGTATATGGCCGGGGGTGTTTAATAAGTAAAAAGAAATCACTAGTTAATACCACTAACAAGGCTCAAAATAGCCCCACACTAACACAGTAGTGTTTCGCCTTTTCGAGACTGTTTTCCAAAGATGGTGCCGCCACACGAAGTGGACTGTCTTTATAAAATATCTTACGGCCACATCGTCTGGAATCATTTAAAGCCCTTTGAACAGTTTGCACTGAAACTGTCTTTTGGACCTTGATCCATTTGGTTCCCATTGAAGTCCATTATATGGAGAAAAATCCTGGAATGTTTTCATCAAAAACCCTCATTTCTTTTCGACTGAAGACCATGTATTTTTCCCTTGATTTTTCCACGTTCACAGTCAGTGATGCAGGGAGTCTCAAACAAGCCTCTTGCTGGCATCTGGCAACCCTGAGAGCTCTGAAACACTGCAAGCGGGACTTTGAACAGCAAGTGTCTGTCTGAGCTCACAACAGGTTTCTCGAGGCGGGCACGCAAAAGATTAACCCTAAAACCGTATTCTGGACAAATGTGGGCAAAATAGTTTTGATTTATTTTTAAAAAAAAATACTTCCCTTGATCTGAGCGGTAAGACTTGGCTACTTTTCCTAAGTTTGCCTCCTGAGTCCTGAACACACTTTTTTTTTTTACTCAATAGAGTGCCGAAGTGATGACGTCACTTTGTAGGACAACCCGGAAGCTAGCGGCGCATGGGTTCCCTCGGTCGAAAAGCAATGCGTTTTCCCCATAGACTTTTGGAAAATCGCAAAAAATAAGATCTGTGTTTAACAAAGGGTTGTGACCCTTACACGTTTTGTCTAGCAAGATAATACAAAATGTATACATTTTGAAAGCCTATATAAAGATTTTAAAAAACACAATCAGACACAATAAAGTTTAAAAAACCACAAGCAGGTTATAACTGTGTGTTCTATGTCATAGATCAAAACGTGAAACTATTCACCACAGACCTTATTTCAGGCGATTTAGCAAAAACCCATTCAAAAATCCCATAGGCTTTAGAGCGAGGGAACCGTAATGCTAAAATGCTAACTCACTTCCGCGTTTTAGCCTACAGAGTGACGTCGTAACTTCGGCACTCTATGGGCTCTATGCACGGCGGTATTTCCGGTGAAGGTGTAAGGATTAAGGATGCTCGATAACTTCCGCCGATCGTAGAGTCCAATGCAATACCGAGAATTTATATTGAATTTTATACTCCATAGAAACGTTAGTCACAAAAACGGATAAAACAGACACCCCTCGTTGTGTTTATGCTTCTTTTTAAAAATACATTAAATAAACATAACTATATATAAAATTACATATAAACGTATGTATGTTTCGTTTCAAAGACGGGAGGACAGTCAATTTTGAAGACTCTGCCATAATCCCGTTTTCCTCGGTTTTCCTCCGCTTTAATCTCCACAACCGGAAATGGACGAGCATCCTTGCGTCAAATGCGGAACTTATGGTGCGTTCTATTATTCATCCGTCTCGGAGATCCGAATCGGACGACAGACGTTGCCTAGCAACACGCCCCCTTTCCTCGGATTTCTCCTCTCGGACGTCGGACAACCGTGAGGACACCGAGCAAGAATTCCGTTTCGGAATTCAAGATGGCTGCGCCCTGTGACTTGTAAGAATGAATTGTTTTCATTGTTTTTGAACCGCTTTGGTATTTTAAATGACGGTTATAATCACTCGTATTGCATGCGTCCCCTGTAGGTATGGGAATCGGTTGTTGTGAGTGCAATTACTGACGTTGCTAGCGTTGCTAACAGAAGATTAACATGAAAAACATTAATAAAGTGAACATTTTAAGTTCAAATGGCTGCGTTTTAATAAGGTGTACTCATAATAATTTTTTTTTTTTAATGTAAGTGCCTGGTACTCGGCCAGTGCTACCATTATAACAGCTTTCCGGGTGGCGTCCATTTTTTTTTCCCGACTCGGACGCGCAAAACAAATAGAACGCTTGAAGTGTGGACGTGACGTCAAATCCGAGGTCCGAGTCGGTTCGTTGGCTATAATAGAACGCACCATTATGCGTCCTAAATAGTATTCGAAAATAGAATTAGTACGTCCCAAACCGTAGCATGTTAAAATGACTGTTTCAAAGATACCCGGATGGTCTACTTTTTCCGGTCAGAATCCGAAGTGTAGATCGATGCACACTCTAACGGCTGATATTACCCACAACCCATTGCGCGTTGGACGAGGATTCGGTTAGAACTACAAACACGAGTAAAAAGTGTTAAAAAAAAAACTACAGACATGGAGGATGCGCGAGTCCCGCAGTTATGTTGAGGTTTAGATAAAGAGGTTTGAGTGATTAATTATCACCATCTAAACTAACGAATATTAATTTATTCAATGTTCTCCACATTATATTGCATCTGCAGCAGCATTGTGAACATTTGTAAGGATATGTCTAGCCATTACTTTTTAAATGCATCATTACATTCAAATTGCAAAACACGAGGAAAGTATCCGCATGAAAGACCCATTAACGTGCTCCGATACGGTAGGAAATCAAATTATACTGAATGGAGGATTTTAACTGTGACGAGATGATTGACAGGGCAGTTTATGGTGACGTGATAGTAGGCTATCTCCCAAACATAGACTGTGGTCCCAAAGGTTTAATACACCAGTCCCAAATACACCCAACCACTTTTTATTTTACAAAAGAGAGCTTTACGTATTATTACAAAATTACAATATAGGGATCATACTAATGATTTATTTTTAAAATTAATCATTCTAAAATTTTATGATTTAATGGATTACAAGGTTACATTGATAATGTATATGGTATACTGGGCCTATAAAATGCTGCCTGATAAAGTTTTGAGTAGCCTATGTTTGAGAAACGTTATGAGTTAAAAGGAACATGTTTGTTTAAAAAACTAAAGGTAAGAACAAATACTAGATACTATCTCTGTAAGAGGAGTGAATTTATGTAATTGTTTGCATATAGATCTAAAATTGACACAAACAATAAATGGATTTAAACGGCTCCTATACTTTCATATAGATAGGTGTGGGTAATTAATATCTATGACTTTGTTGTTTCAAGTGTTGCAAGAAGAGAATAGAGCACTGTTTGACTGTTGTAAAAATTGAGAGGGATAGGCGTCAATAAGCCTTGAGCTTCAGACTATACCCTTTGGTTTAATCAAAAGTTATGTTAATGATGGGTTGAATATTTGTTATTGTATATTTGTTAATGATAAACCAAATAAAATTAAATGAATGAATGAATGAAAAGCTTGCCTATCTTTTGCTTCACACTCAAAAGTATGTACTTTTTCTTCACAAAAAGAGTACATATAAGTAAGCGAATTGGGACGCAGGGCTATTCTACAATGTTAAGTGGGTGAAAAAAAAAACTCCTTAATCTTGTATTTGGGTCAAAAATGGGCACCCATAGAAATGAATGGGTAACTAATTTAAAGCATTCTAAAATAAGCCAAAATAAGACAGCAGGTGACAGCAGTCACTTCATCTTTAGGTTTTAGCTGTAAGAACTTATTGGAATGATATTTTAATGTAGTTACAAAAAATAAATAAAATAAAACATAAAAATAAGCATAATTTACATTACTTTTTGAAGTAAATAAATAAAAAAAATACCCCCAAAATAAAATAAAAACACCATAAATGGATAGACAAAACTTTATCAAAGACATATAACATTTATAATAAATAAAAATTAGGATCACACCTGAGTCCTCTGTCCACATTTGTCCACAATTACAGGATCAAGGGCTATAAAGTGAATACGGTTTGAGGGCTACAAATAAATAAATAACTTCCCATCTTTATTTTATTCCCACCTCCGTACTCCAGATATCAGCATATTCCTGAAAACCTTGCTGTATCTGGCAACCCTGGCAGGCACCTCACGCGAATTACATAACACAGTCCACAAAAGTGCACACACCCACACCCCGCAGAAAAGGGTTTTGGACTGAACTGTCGCTTTATTTTGTGAAAATGTCTGAGAAAGTTGTGCTGCATTATATCGATGGAAGAGGGAAAATGGAGCCGATCCGATGGCTCTTGGCCGCGGCTGGAGTCGAGGTTTGTTCAGATTCTCCACGGATATCCAAAACAAAAAGTGGGAATCGATTAACACTTTACATATATGTACCTTTTTCCTAATAAATGTAGTTTAAAATACCTGCTTTAGAAATTGAATGTGTGCATTAACTTTATCTCGAGATCAATACTTTTTTCGCTTGGACTTCATTTTGTTCTTGTGTTCACGGCTTGAGGAGGTGTTTTTGACTACGTGACGTCTAACGTTATACAAAAAAAAATGCAGTTGCACTTTGCAAAAAGTGGAAATAGATGAACACTTTACATATATGTAACTTTTTCCTAAAGCTGTGCAATAAATTTAGTTTGTTTGCATATGACGATGATGCTTTAGATGAACGTGCATTGTAACGTGATCTTGAAATCAATGCGTTCATTGTGTTCACAGTTTGAGGAAGTGTTTATGACCAAGAGGGAGCATTATGAAAAACTGGTGAATGGTAAGTTCAGTAAATCTCTAGTTGTTTTATGAATATGATGATGAATGATATTGCTTTGGTTGTAGAGGGATCCCTGATGTTCCAGCAGGTTCCTCTGGTTGAGATAGATGGGATGCAGCTTGTGCAGTCGAGGGCTATCCTGAATTACATCGCTGGAAAATACAACCTCTACGGGAAAGACCTTAAAGAACGGGCTTTGTGAATATCAACTTTTGATGAAATTGAAATTTTTTAATTAGATTCCTTGTTTTTCCACCACATCTAAGCAATTATCTCTGTATTTTTGTCCGTCAGGATTGACATGTATGTAGAGGGCATTAGTGATCTAATGGAGCTTATCATGATGTCTCCTTTCATACCTCCTGAAAACAAGCAGAAAAGTCTCAGTAATATAGAGCAAAAGGCAAAAGAGCGCTTCCTCCCTGTGTTTGAGAAGGTATAGACCATTTCAGAAGATGTAAACAACACTGGTCCAGAAGCACTTCCTGTTTCAGTTTTTTAACACTACATAAGAGCTGGGATAAATTACAACCAACAGAACATGTAAAACTGAATCAAAAAGTTAAACAAACATCTTTAAGATGTTCTCTTTACATGTGAAATAAAGAAAACAGTTACAAACTGAAACAGGAAGTGTTTCTGGACCAGTGTTTACATCTTGTGAAATGGTCTAAGTTCATCACATTTTGAAGCGTTTATTATCCACGTAATCATGCCGTTTCTGATGGCTTTTTTAGGGTCTCGCGAACTCTCATTTCCTGGTGGGAAACCAGTTGAGCCGCGCTGACGTTCATCTTCTGGAAGTCTCTCTGATGCTGGAGGAGTTGTTCCCTACAATACTGTCAACCTTTCCCAAAGTCCAGGTGATCTGCTCCACGCTTTCCACACAATTGCACTAAACAATACCGGCATTATTGGTCACACTTTACATTAGGTATCTACGGAGGCGTATTGCATTCACTTGAAGAAAAAAAATCGACTCTGTTTTTCTGAATTAACGAGTTAATTTTTCATGAGAAAAAAGTTTTTGCTCTGTTTTTCTGAATTAACGAGTTAAATTTCATGGAAAATATATATTTTTTTGCTGTGTTTTTCTGAATTAATGAGTTAATTTTTCATGAGATAAAAAATATTTTTCTCTGTTTTTCTGAATTAACGAGTTGATTTTTCATGGTTTTTTTTTTTTTTGCTCTGTTTTTCTGAATTAACGAGTTAATTTTTTATGGAATTTTTTTTTTGCTCTGTTTTTCTGAATTAACTCTTTAATTCAGAAAAACAGAGCAATTTTTTTTCTCATGAAAAATTAACTCATTAATTCAGAAAAACAGAGGAAAAAAAAATTTTCTCATGAAAAATTAACTCGTTAATTCAGAAAAACAGAGCAATTTTTTTTTCTCATGAAAAATTAACTCATTAATTCAGAAAAACAGGGCAAAAAAAATTTTTCTCATGAAAAATTAACTCGTTAATTCAGAAAAACAGAGCAATTTTTTTTCTCATGAAAAATTAACTCGTTAATTCAGAAAAACAGAGCAAAATATTTTTTCTCATGAAAAATTAACTCGTTAATTCAGAAAAACAGAGCAAAATATTTTTTTCTCATGAAAAATTAACTCGTTAATTCAGAAAAACAGAGCAATTTTTTTTCTCATGAAAAATTAACTCGTTAATTCAGAAAAACAGAGCAAAATATTTTTTTCCTCATAAAAAATTAACTCGTTAATTCAGAAAAACAGAGCAAAATATTTTTTTCTCATGAAAAATTAACTCGTTAATTCAGAAAAACAGAGCAATTTTTTTTCTCATGAAAAATTAACTCGTTAATTCAGAAAAACAGAGCAAAATATTTTTTTCCTCATGAAAAATTAACTCGTTAATTCAGAAAAACAAAGCAATTTTTTTTTCACATGAAAAATTAACTCGTTAATTCAGAAAAACAGAGCAAAAAAATTTTTCTCATGAAAAATTAACTCGTTAATTCAGAAAAACAGAGCAAAATATTTTTTTTCCTCATGAAAAATTAACTCGTTAATTCAGAAAAACAGAGCAATTTTTTTTTCTCATGAAAAATTAACTCATTAATTCAGAAAAACAGAGCAAAATATTTTTTTCCTCATGAAAAATTAACTCGTTAATTCAGAAAAACAAAGCAATTTTTTTTCACATGAAAAATTAACTCGTTAATTCAGAAAAACAGAGCAAAAAAATTTTTCTCATGAAAAATTAACTCGTTAATTCAGAAAAACAGAGCAAAATATTTTTTTTCCTCATGAAAAATTAACTCGTTAATTCAGAAAAACAGAGCAATTTTTTTTCTCATGAAAAATTAACTCGTTAATTCAGAAAAACAGAGTAGCTTTTTTTCTTCAAGTGAATGCAATACGCCTCCGTAGGTATCTATGTATTTGCATCAAAAAAGTAATTTTCAAGTACAGTGCTCTTATTGTGTGGATGTATTGAAAACACTTTCAAGAGTTCAACAGATGCTATTAATTACAGCTGTAATTAAATGCAGGTATTTTAAAATATAAGTTTAAAATGTACACAATAAGCGGATTGCATCAAATGATTCATACGTCACCATACGTTTTAGTTATTTTTGTGAGCATGTCTGTATCTTTAAACGTTGGCAGTCAAACATTCAGAACAGAGTGAAGTTAAGTTTCATTAAACCTTCAAATTTATATTTAACACATATAAAAAACACAGTATTGATTGTCAGATATACAGTAATAAGTTTAGTGAGTTGCCTGAGCAATTCAGTGGTCAGATAATCCCTGTGATCTGTCTCTTTTAGCAGCATAATTATGATTTGAGGGCTTGGTATTGACACAAATTTCACAATTCGATTCGTTTTCGATTCACAAGCTTGCAATTCGATTCCGATTCGATTCAATATTGATTATTTTGGATATCAGTTACAATAAATGGCAATGTTTCTCAAGGAAATCAAATCTCTTAACTAATGCTGTAAACTATGGGAGTCTAGTTGTACCCTACTAGCTTCATTAGCCTAATATGAAGGTAATAATGAACTGTTTTGTAGCTATGCAAACACTTAAATTACACTTTTATTTATTTTTATAATAAGAAGATTATGTGAAATATAAACATTTAAATGGTGACTGTCATAAAAACTTTCCAGATTTATTCAAATATGCATTAAATATTACAGAACATTAAGATTATACTGCATATGTAATATGGTGTATATATTTAGCAAAATGCTCCTCTCTAGAGTTATTTTTCTAGCTGACTATAACGAGTTTATGTGGGTTTTCTGAGGTAAATATGACGATGACATTGATTACAAGCTGTTTAACTGACGTCTTTCCACGGTTGAAACGCTGATTGAGTGAATCAATGTGACATGATCCGGATTTGGATAAGTTGTACTCTATCTTTAACACACTTTCAGATGCTCATTCATGTTTATTTGGCGCTGTGACTGGTATTATTAACCCGGAAGAGAGATCAGCGCTGCTGCTTCTCCAGAGCGATCTCACGCCACAGCGACAAAACACTATTTATGTTTTTGAATTTCTAAAGAAAATGGACGTAATTTGAAAATTGAGACTTTGTTTCATATCAATAGTAACAAAGGACAAAGATTATTGCGATTTTTTGGATGCGCGCAGCCGCGATACAGTGATCCATTCATTCAAAAGAAACAGGATGACTAATCGATTCTTGAGATTTAAGAATCGATATCGGTTCGTAAAAATGAGAATCGATTAATATCGAGAAATCGATATGTATTACCCAGCCCTATATGATTTTATATAATTTTTCATTTGTTTCACAGGCGTTCCAGGGAAAAATGAAGGCCTTACCCAGAATCAGCAAATTCCTGCAGCCGGGCAGTGCGAGAAAGCCTCCGCCCGACGAGGCGTACGTGAACGTGGTGAAGGAGGTGTTCAGCCACGTCTTTAAGGAGAAGTGAACTAACTTACAAGCTTCTTTATTAAAACTGAGACGCGAACATAGACAGATTTATTTGGAATGTACAAGACACAGTTATAATAGTGTTAAATGAACATCGCAGCTGTTCAGGACATCACTTAGAAGATCAGAATTCGGAAAACCATTAGGAGGCTGAAATAAAAACAGACATACTAATAAATCTCGTGTTCATTTCACATGTTTTTTCTCTAGTAATAATATTGATCTTAATTATTATGGAGCATATACTGTCAATAAACTACATATTCAATCAGTCTTCCTTGTGTTCATGTGGTAAAAGATAAAACAGTGTGGGGAAAAACATGGTATTTTCAACTAGATTTTTACTTCTTGCATAAATGTAGAAAAAAGTCAAATGTAAAGTTCATGAAATTCTACAGAGGAACTATTTTTTGGGGTTTGAGGACTACAATCAGAGATGTCACTTATCAAACAATATCATCTTTCAAATTCTAAAAAAGGTAAACAGATAAATAACTATATATTAATAAAGCAAAATGGTGCAAATAAAGTGCAGCAGACGCAATAACCATTGACAGGATATCGCTTTCCTTATTCAAACTGATTTTTCCCCTCATGAATATATGATGGACCCGAAGAATGAAAGCTGTATCATATACTTGGATATTTATAAGCAATATTACGCTCATAGCCATGTGAAATGTCTTTATGTCAGGCTGCAGCATTCATTTTGCATGAAAATATTGGTTAATCAAGAAAATTAAACACCATTTTTTTCATATAGGCTATTTTTCAATAATTCGAGATTTTTCATGAATAAAAGAAACTTTACAAGAGCCATATTTTGATACGTCAGGACACAAGAATATAGTATATTTGTAAGTGTACCTCAGCGCTGCCATGATCCCTGCTGGCATGAATTTCCCAGATTTCCTGAACCTCATTCCCATCACAACTGCAAGCACGCCAGCAGATACTGTAAGGAAAAGCAATGAAAGAGAAAGTTCAAAGCTGTGAAGCACATTTGCTGAGTATTTCAAAAGAACGGGGATTTTTATACGTACTCAAAGAGGTCCAGTAATCCTGTGGATCATTTGATATCCGATAGGCTCCGTATGCAGACACACTTCCAAAGAAGAGTCCAGCGATTAAAGACACCACACTTCCTGTGGGAGTCCAGCACTGGATTCAACATCTCCTCATCTTCAATATTAAACTGCACATGTTCAATTTGAAAACAACAGCAGCACAAGTCATACCTTTTCTTTTATATCCCATGAATCCCCCCAGAGCAAGAGCTGCAGCATAAGCGAAGCCCCACCAGTCCACTGCCATCCTCTACACATGAGAATCACATCATCACGTATAATAACATCACTCAAGAACACAATAAAGGTATATAATCCAAAACAGAGTCAGCGAAATCTTTACCAAATATCGCGGGTGAGCTGCGGGTATGCTTTAATAGCGGTAAATGTGTTGTGCAAGTGCTGTAGTGCAGCTGTGCTGAGCAGAGTCTGAAGTCTGCTGAAGTTCATAACACGGAAATGACGTCACGATGACGCGCGACAGGGAAGTGAGTGTGTGAAACGCTCTTTTTATTTTTTATATTATTTTTTTATTTTATTTATTTTTTCCTGTTTATCGTTGTCTAATTTCTTTTTTGTGCTATTATGTAGTTGATTTTATTATTATGTTGTTTTACTCTGTAAACTGAATGTTTAAATAAAGCATTTAAAAAAAAAAGAAAGAAAAAAAAAAAAAAAGTGTGTGAAACGCAAGAGCGCCAAATCCATAGACAGTCAAATCAGTCAAATCCCTGTCAAATCAGACACCGGAATATTTTAAACGACACGTTGAGCTTGGCAAATTTACATAAAGATAGATTCATCAAAACGAACTGTTTTCTTTTGTACTTTTGTACGCGCGTGTGTGTTTTTCTAACGCTCGTGGCGCGCGCAGGCTAATTTTCTAATTTGTATTTTGTTCATAATCTAATAAAACAAGCGGTGTGACTATAAGGAATGATCACCTTAAAAATGTAAATACATGCAGGTGCGAATGGGGGAAACGGAGCTCAAAATGAGTTTGCATGAAGCACATGCTGATGAAATCAAAATAGACCCATTTTTTTAATTATGGAATATTGCAGTATTTATTATGAATTATTTACCCGAGCACATCATTGTTTTTTCATTCATGTGCCTCAAAATCGTGAAGTAAAATAACCTCTTGCAGCGACTTTTCTTCTCGGTGCGAAGGCGGGGCAACCTGTCACTCACATGATATCAACCAAACACAAGCATCCCGCACAAGCCCCGCCCTACATTTGTTCTTGTTTGTGAAAAGCAGTTACACTCAAATATTTAGGTTGACTCTAAATTGAACATATGACGCTTACTTCCTTGTTTCCACATAAGGCATTTACATTTGTATTCCAATGCAGTTATCACAGGTTTATTGATTATATAGAATTGAATCGAATGGGAACGTTGGAATAAGAAACACAATTAACATGCACACTGAGATTGTCTCCTTTTGTAAAACGGGATGTTTCAAGATGAAGTAAATCCAACATTTAAAAAGAAAAAAAAAAGACATGAATTACCACTATAACAAGTAGCTAGATGGCGGCAGAGAAGCATTTATTGGCTCATATTAACGCAGGATATTATTTTGCTTTTGACTAAATATGAAACATAGGGCACTATAAAAAAGCACTATAAAATCACTAGGTTTATTTTACTCACAAAGTCTCATGAAAAACAATAAAGCGAACACGCGCACTCTTTATAATCACTAAAGCTGTCAGTCCGTTCTCGGGATTTCTGCACACTTGAGAAAACTCCTATTTTGTTCAATAAATCTATAAGTGCCCAATAAATCTTTCATTTACAGTGTTTATGTTTTTTCCACATGAAAGTGTGAAAAATTATGGTCAAATTGAATTTTTCTGAGAAAGAACACTGAGGAACAGGTCTCTTTTATGTCATATTTGAATACCTAAATTAATGCTATAGGCTTGACTAAGTCACTTCTGATTATAAACACACCAACAAGTGACATATATCTTATATATAGTGGTTTAGCTATATTGCACAAGTTCTCAAGCACATTCCGGTTCCATGTGGTCAGTTAGCCACGAATGGGGACAAACAATCAGTGATCGCCTACTGTACTCTTACTAGTTCACTATTAAGTAGCCTAATCAATAACTACTATTTTTTAATTGGCTACTTCCCAGAGAACTACTGAAAAAGTTTATTAATAATCTAGTAACTACTATTAACTAAAAGAAACTCTTATTAACGAATTAGTAAGTAATAGCTCACAGATGAAAGTGTTACTAGATACTTCTGTGGGAATTACTAATTATTTGGATCCGTATTATAAAGTGAAGATCATTGGAACTAGTAATTACTCAAGTGTTACTACATGATCTAGTCATGATTTGTGCAAATGTTTGAGATTTTTTTTGGTGAACTTTATAACTTTTATAAAATGTCTAAAAGTAACACTTGAGTAATTACTAGTTAGTTCCAATGATCTTCACTTTATAATACGAATCCAAATAATTAATTCCCACAGAAGTATCTAGTAACACTTTCATCTGTGAGCTACTTACTAATTCGTTAATAAGAGTTTCTTTTAGTTAATAGTAATTACTAGATTGTTAATAAACCTTTTCAGTAGTTCTCTGGGAAGTATTAAAAAAATAGTAGTTATTGATTACTTAATAGTGAACTACCACTTTCGTCTGTGCGCTATTACTTAGTAGTTCGTTAATCAGAGTTTCTTGTTAGTTAATAATAGTTACTAGATTGTTAATATTGTGTTACTCATTAGTTCCTGTGTAGTTATTCATTAACGAAGGAACCGTATTCTAAAGTGTTATCGAAAATCAAATACTATAGAAGTGGCTGCTGTGTTGTTAACTCACTAAAACATTCTTCAAGAGATTAGACTGTATAAAGGATCACTTTTCACTTCACACTCACTCACGGAAGGGGGCGGTATGCGCCTACAGCTGGTGTGCGACCCGCCATTAAACCCACAGAAGAAGAAGCCGTTCTCTTCCTATCGTTCTTCACAAAAATACACTATCCCCGCGGTTGCTTTCATAACGACATTGGCATTTTCATTTACTTTATAACGTTTAAAATAAACGTTAGGTTTTTGTTATTGTTTCAACCCCAACCACTGGGTAACATAGACTGGGTCACTGCTGGGTTAACTTTACATTGTTGGGTTATATTTAGTAACAACCCAGCTTTTGGGTTAAATAGTGTTCCCGCGGCGACGGTTCGAATTTCAACGGTCGAGTGACAGTTAACGATATATATGAATGTAAAAGGTAAGTCGTATCGTTTTGTGATGTATAACTAGTATAACATCAAGTACCGTCTATTGAGACTTACATTTTGTATGATTAAGTTGTCATTTTTGTTGTCCTCTATCGATTGAGTTATCACAGTTATAGCTCGCTCGCAGTAATAATAGAGTAAAAAGACAATTTAGATGTATTACTTAACGTTTACAATAATAATGGCTGCTTACATGAATGTCGATAAACTAAGTAGGTCAATAAAATCATTGTTTAGCATTCCGCCATATTTACTATATTCCGGACTGCTATTTTTTCCGTACTCTGGTGCCACTACAATTGATATATTGTTATGCATGTAACTTTAATAAATATGTTTTACAGATGTGGAATATAGCCTAATAGCCTTAATATTTTTTTTTTCTTTTAAAACTACTGCTGTTTTTGCATTTATAATGCGTTAATATAATATATAATTATAATGTTGCACTAAATGTGTGTACTTTTTGTACTAATTTTAGAGAAATGGATTCCTATGTGAAGGAAAGACTACAAGAGTGGAACCTCTGCCATTTAATTGAAACATTTCAAGGTAAGCTATTTAAATTAGTCATAAATGGGTCATTGACATGTAAAGCTTAAAAAATATTAAAAATATATATTTTCAAAACAGATCTGCATATTATTGAGTCATGAACAATGTGTTTAAACAAGTTAAATAACATTTCATTAAGGAAATAATCATTAAGTATTATTTAAATGCACTAAAAATGATTTCAAACCAAATAAGTTTTATAGGATAAAGTGATATATGACATGATTTTATCAAATTATTTAAAAAATGATGCACTCTTTCTTGTTGATCTTAACACAGAGGAAGGAGTGGACAAGGAAAGCTTCATGCTCCTGGACGACGCCAGCATCGCCGCTCTAATTCCAAGAATTGGTTTCAGGGTTAAATTCAAGAAATATCATTCAGAACTTCTGGAAGTAAGTTCACACACTTACTAAACAACGATAGCTTTTTTGATCACATGTTTCAAGTGCAGTCAGTCAGGTTATACGAATGCACAACATTCAATTTCTTATGATCATAGAGGAGACGCATATTAAAATGTCAAACAGTCATCATCCTCAACACATCATTTGCACAATCAACATATTCCAACACTATTTCAACACAATCAACATATTCTAGCCACTAATTAATTACATGGTGAAGCGAACCGCTACTTAGATCACTGATATTGTAAATAGCTCTTTTACATCGACTTGCTAATAAGGGCCCGTTCACACCTACCTTGTTTGGTCCGAATCAAAATAATAGATGTGAAAGCTCCCCCGGACTACGGTCCGTACCAAACAGATGAAATTTGGTCTGACGAATAGAGGTAGTCTCGGCCTGGATCAAACTGAACAAAGGTTTGGTTCGTTTCTAGTGTGAAAGCATTTCTGTATGGTTCAGACATTCAGACCTTTTACAGGAAGTTCTGGTGGTTCACGCATAGCCGAAAAAACATAATGTGGCAGGAAAAATGAGGCGTGTAGCACATGGAGAGAGGAGGAGACGAGGTTTTTAATTGAAGTGGTCCGATTACATACCCAGCAAACAAATTTAGGTTCTGGGAACGTTCTAGTTTTTGGTTCCCAGAACGTTCCTAGAACTTTCCCTTAAGGTTTAGGGAACATTCCCGGAACATTCTCCTCACGTTATAAAAATGGCACCTAAAAATAACCTACATTGAACGTTCCTATAACGTTCTTGTTTGGTTCCAAAAAAATAACCTCATGGGACCATTCGGGAACGTTAGGGGAACGTTCTGTGTTTGCTGGAAAAGAAGTCAAATGGAAAAAAATGCAGACCAAATATTTTTTGGACCCAAAAAAATTTTCCAAATATTTTTGGAGATAATGAGAGAACGGGAGAACAATGCCACCTGAAGATAAAGATACTGCGGCAGCAATATACAAAGGCGTGCGATCCCATGAAAATAAAATAAAAATAACAATATAGTTGCAACGATATGCGTCTGTTCATCATGTTGTCAAAGTTACCCGCCGAATTGACAACACGCTGAGTCAGATGCACGTCCATTTACTAAACCAATCAATGTCGAGATGCAACCCACATAGATGATGACGACAGGACGCAAGTATGTCACGTAAAGTTCTTTAGTGCGCTCGCATAATTACAGTGTGAAACAAAACCAAAACTTTCGGACTTTCCGGTGTGAAATCGCCCTTAGTTGTCTACATCAGCTGTCGTATGGGTCACACCCAAGTTTGACCCAGTATCAAATATTTCTCTTATCTGTCAAACATATTTTATTGGGTTGTCCTGGACTTGCTCTTTTATGATGTTACTTCACTTGAGAACATATTTAATGAGATTATCCTGAAAATGTTCATTTAAAAAATCTTGTATAATATGATTTGCTGTTTTTGTATTTGTTTTTTATTGTATAATATGATATTTGTTTTTTGTAATTGATTTTTTGCCATGAAAATAGCTTTGAATGCTGACATCGCATTAAATAAAATATTGTGAATCTCTCACTCGGATCATCCTGATTTCAGTGCCATAAACAATCAGTTTGAGGGAGCATTTCATTGTCGAGCGTTCGGATGCATTAACTGGCAGCGAGAGACAGATGGCAGTCCAGGACAGCGTTCAATATGTTCCACTGCGGCCCGTCCTTAAAAATAAATGCTAGAATACCAGTGCCCTCGAATGACCAGCGCCCGTGTCTAAACAACTCTCCGTTCTGCGTGTCCTGTGGGCATACAGGCCCCAATTATGCTGTGCCTTCAGCTGTAGTTCCTTAGTTTTGGAAGCACTTGGCTGTTGGTGCATTAGGGGTGGGTGATATGATCAAAATCTTAGATCAAAATTTTCATAATTATCACAATTTTCAATATATATATATATATATATATATATGAAGAGTTCAGATGCAAAACCCTCTAAGTGCAATTTGAAATTTTCCTCTAGAATGATAATTTTTATCAAGCTTATTTCAGTGATTTCACTTAAATGACAATGATAATTACCTATTAATTGTTATTTAAGTGAAATTACTGAACTTAAATACACAAGTTTGATAAAAAATCATCATTAAAGAAGAAAATTTCAAATGGCATTTAGAGGCTTTTGCATCTGAACTCTTCATATATATATACTCGCCTGAAAAAGACAAGTTAACACTGATAAAGAAAGAGCAAAAAAAAAAAAAAAAAAAAAAAACTACAATAGAACATATTAAATGCATGAAAAGACATACCTGACAAACTTCAAGAACTAGAAATACTACATAAAAATTAGGCTAATCAAATATATATATGTTCTTATTAAAGTTACTAAAGTGATAAAGTCAAGAGCAATAAGACAGTTTCTCTTTCTTTTTGTTTAACATTAATAAACAACAGAAGGTACATTTGGAAGCTGTCACTTTAAGACCGACTTCACGGATTATCCATTATACTCGTGTAATTTCTTTCTCAACTGTTTACATTCACTTACATAGACATAAATGTTTACTTGCAAATACATGGTCACTTTGACACAAGTAAAGTATGTGTATTTAACCGTTCAAGCCCAATTTGGCGGCAGCGCTGTTGTTAAACCACAATGCTTAAAAACACAAGCAAACTACAAATGGAATAGCTAATACATTTTATAGCTGATAATGTCTGATATTTACATTCTTTTCCCCTTTTTAAACAGTCTCTGGGCCATAGCCCTGTCAACAATCAACCATGTCCCAGTCAATCGCCTGTGAGGAATGACCCCGCGACCCCAGCACAGATAATACTGGAAAGCTGCCAAACAAGATCAAGCAACTCAACCTTTGTAATAGCTCGTCTTTTGATAATCTTGAACTTGAATTTCAGGCTGATATTTTATTGTTTAAGAACAAATTGAGTGTTCTTCTTTTCACAGGATATACGAGAAATCCTGAGCAATTCTGGAGGATCGGCGTTAATATCGTCTTTAGACAGAGACGGGCACCTAAGCCTCAAGGACCGATGTCAGATGGTGCGGTTGTTGGTTTCTCATTTGATGGGAAGGTTTGGGGAAAAGTGAGTAGAACTATAAAATGATAAAATCACTTGACCAGTGCACATGAATTAATAAACTGGCCTGTATGAACGTTTCATATGCATGTTTCTTTGTATAGCCCGACAGCTGAGATCAAGAAGGAGATGGCTTTGGCAATAACTGCCCAGTTTCCTTGTCTGAAAAGCAATGAGGGATACGGATATGTAAGTTGTGCTGACACATTCTGATTAAAAGATAATTATTACATTTTTGTTATATTACATTATAATTATTATGACGGTGGTTTATTGACGTGTTTTGTTGCAGGAGGTGTGGTATACACCTTGTCGCTATCGTCACCCTGCAACCGGGTATCTAGAAGAACGACTCCGCAACGTGAGGAAACGTCTGAGGAAACAGCCATCCCAGAATTCATCTTCCCAAACCAGTTTTCCACTGCCAGGTACGAACTAGGAATGGGTGATTATATGTATGTTTATACATTCACCTAAAGGATTATTAGGAACACCAGTTCAATCTCTCATTAATGGAAATATCTATTCAACCAATCACACGGCAGTGTCTTCAATGCATTTAGGGGTGTGGTCCTGGTCGAGACAATCTCCTGAACTCCAAACTGGTCAGGATGGGAAAGAAAGGGGATTTCAGCAATTTTGAGCGTGGCATGGTCTGAGTATTTCACAATCTGCTCAGTTACTGGGATTTTCACACACAACCATTTCTAGGGTTTACAAAGAATGGTGTGAGAAAAGGGAAAAACATCCAGTATGCGTCAGTCCTGTGGGAGAAAGCGCCTTGTTGATGCGAGAGGTCAGAGGAGAATGGGCCGACTGATTCAAGCTGATAGAAGAGCAACTTTGACTGAAATAACCACTCGTTACAACCGAGGTATGCAGACAACACACACAACCTTGAGGCGGATGGGCTACAACAGCAGAAGACCCCACTGGGTACCACTCATCTCCACTACAAATAAGAAAAAGAGGCGACTGTTTGCAAGAGCTCACCAAAATTGGACCGTTGAAGACTGGAGAAATGTTGCCTGGTCTGATGAGTCTCGATTTCTGTTGAGACATTCAGATGGTAGAGTCAGAATTTGGCGAAAACAGAATGAGAACATGGATTATCATGCCTTGTTCCCACTGTGCAGGCTGGTGGTGGTGGTGTAATGGTTTTCTTGGCACACTTTAGGCCCCTTAGTGCCAATTGGGCATTGTTTAAATGCCACGGCCTACCTGAGCATTGTTTCTGACCATGTCCATCCCTTTATGGCCATCATGTCCCCATCCTCTGATGGCTACTTCCAGCAGGATAATGCACCATGTCACAAAGCTGGAATCATTTCAGATTGGTTTCTTGAACATGACAATGAGTTGACTGTACTAAAATGGCCGCCACATTTACCAGATCTCAACCCAATAGAGCATCTTTGGGATGTGGTGGAACGGGAGCTTCATCCCACAAATCTCCATCAACTGCAAGATGCGATCCTATCAATATGGGCCAACATTTCTAAAGAACGCTTTCAGCACCTTGTTGAATCAACGTCACGGAGAATTAAGGCAGTTCTGAAGGTAAAAGGGGGTCAAACACAGTATTAGTGTGGTGCTCCTAATAATCCTTTAGGTGAGGGTATGTGTGTGTATATAAGGGGTGTAATGAATGAAATCACTCACGGTTTGGTTTATATCTTGGTTTTAGTCTCACGGTTTTGGTACAGTTCGGTATGTGCTATGTTCAGGGGAAAAAAAGTTCAATAAAAAATAAAGAAAATAAGAAAAAAAAAAACACATGGAACAGCACAAATAAATACAAATAAAGCAAAGCTACAACTAAAGTAAACTGTTTTTTTTTTCAGGTAGGTTTATTTATTTGTTTTTTATTTATTTATTTATTTATTTAATAAGGGACAATGCACATTAATAAATATATAAAGACAATGTCCAAATATAAATGGGTCAGATTTAGCCGTAAAGACTAATTTTCATCTTGAGTCCCTGGCAGAACATTAGTTTTCAGGAACATAAATTGAATAAATGAATCAAAAGTAAAATAGCATTGCCTATTTGACTGTATAAATGAATCCTCATTAAAGTTACAAAGGCTATTCAATTAAGAGAAGTGAGTGATTTGCTTTTATTTTGTTAACATTAAAAACATAGCCCGCAGGAATATTAGGCTGTTGTCACTTTAATGCACAATGCACTGATCCAGGACACCGATACTGTTACACATGCGTTATCTTTCTCAGCTGTTTATGTTCACTAAAGACATACTTAAGGTTTGCTTGGATACTCGCCAAGACTGGCACGTCGACACAATTTTTGTGTTAATTTTTTTTTGCGCTTAAAGGTGTGTGTAAATTAAGTGTTCTCTCCAGGTGCTGCCACCTTCATCAGACAAAGTTTACAGATTGCCTCATTAAAGTTTGCAGGTTCCACATTAGCATTGAGTTTAAATCCAGAATATTCCCAAATAGGCACTTTTACATTTAGCTTTGAAAACAAATCTTTCGCCATCGTCTTCCTGTTTTCAATCAAAGTCCACAGTAGTTGATTGTCGAGTTTGCGCGCGTGATCATTGGTAACTAAGCAACAGCAGAGACTCAGACTGTCAGCTGTCAGCCGATGACGGTGCTGTGTAGTTTTCGCCTGATCTCGACAATCAACTACTGTGGACTTCGACCCAAAACAGGAAGTAAAGACGGGTATGTGAGATGCCCGAATAAACATCATTTTTATTAATATATCTTTCACATCTACTGCTGTCAGATTCACACGGATCATTCTGAATAAAATCACTCACTCACATGGCTGCCGCTGTGCACTTATAATGACACATCAAGGATGTTAAGAGGCTAAAAGCAGATTTAAAAGCTGCCCCATTGAAATCAACAGGGTCAAATTTTAAAAAGAGGATAACAAGCGATTTTTGTCTGTTTTGACAGCACTCCAAATGTACAAAAAAAAAATAGCTAAAAATGTTAAATGTTAAAATGTTAAAATGTTAAATGTTAAAATTGACTGGAGTTCTCCTTTAATAGGCCTCCACTATCTTTCCTGCTTGTGGTTTCCAGACGTTCATGGTTTTATGTTGATGTATTTTAACTTCAATAGAGTCAGCGTTGTCTTCGACTGACATTCACACAATGCTTGAGTGGCTGAAGAACAATAGAGGCCCTCACAGCCAAATCATGGAGCCCATGGGACACGCAGCACCTCATCGAGCCGCATGGATTCGATCCCCTGGATCGGAAACCATAGAAGAAATCAATGCAGAATATCCCAAACTTCATGATTTTCCTGGAATGGTGAGAATAATGATGTGCTAGATTTAAAGTCTAGATTTAAAATTAACTGAGTGTGTCTGCTTCCCAAACAGTGTTAGGAAGACTATTCCAAAGTTTAGGTGCTAAATAGGAAAAGGATCTACCAATCTGCAGTTGATTTTGATATTATAACTATTATTAGAAACTGGACTAAATTTTGAGGATGTGAAGTACGATAATACAAGAGCTCACAAAGCATTAAATGTTTTAGCTCCCCAGTACTTGAGTAAGTAATTAGCAAGTTTTCAAAATGTATATAGTGTTTAATTGGGAGCCAATGCAGTGTTGGCAGAACATATGACAGCTAATATGGTCATGATTCCTGGTTCTGGTCAGAACTCAAGCTGCTGCATTTTGGACCAACTGGAGTTTGTTTATTATGCGTGCAGGGCAGCCACCCAGTCTCTACTCTACATTACAATAATCTAGCCTTGAGGTCAGGAACGCAAGAGTGAACTTTCCTGCATTTGTCACTGAGTGCAAATGTTGTATTTTTTAAGATGGAAGAATGTGGTTTTACAGATGCTAGAAATGTGGCTTTCAAATAAAAGATTGGTATCAAAGAGCACACATACACACCCAGGTTCCTAACATACGACGAAGACTTGATAGAGCAGCCGTCAAGTATTCTTGGGTATAACATGCAGAGGTTTTTGGTCCAATCATTTGAATTTTTCAGAATTAAGTAGCAGGAAATTACTTGTCACCAATTTTTTTTTATCAGCGGTTAATTTTGTGAATTGGAAGTTTCGTCTGGGCACAAATAAATTTAGAGCTGAGTTTCATCAGCATGAAAGCTAATGGCATGCTTCCTAATGATATCTCCTAAGGGTAGCATGTACAGCAACGGTCCTAGTACTGAGCCTTGAGGTACTCCATACTGAACTTGTGTTTGATATGATGTTATAGCATATCATAGCTGCACTAAAGAATCTTCATTACAGTTACACATCATTGTCATTGCATTGCTGATAACGTCGGATATTTACTTTTTTTTGTTTTCTTTTAAACAGTCTCTGGGGAATAGCTCTATCAACAATCAATCATGTCCCGGTCAATCATCTGTGAGGAATGACCCCGTGACCCCAGCACAGATAATACTGGAAAGCTGCCAAACAAGATCAAGCAATAGCTTTGTAATAGCACGTCTTTTATACACTTGAATTAAGTTTTGTAATTTTTTTATCAGAACAAATTGAATGTTGTTCTTTTCACAGGATATACGAGAAATCCTGAGCAATTCTGGAGGATCGGCGTTAATATCGTCTTTAGACAGAGACAGACACCTAAGCCTCAAGGAGCGACGTCAGATGGTGCGGTTGTTGGTTTCTCATTTGATGGGAAGGTTTGGGGAAAAGTGAGTAGAACTATAAAATGATAAAATCACTTGACCAGTGCACATGAATTAATAAACTGGCCTGTATGAACGTTTCATATGCATGTTTCTTTGTATAGCCCGACAGCTGAGATCAAGAAGGAGATGGCTTTGGCAATAACTGCCCAGTTTCCTTGTCTGAAAAGCAATGAGGGATACGGATATGTAAGTTGTGCTGACACATTCTGATTAAAAGATAATTATTACATTTTTGTTATATTACATTATAATTATTATGACTTTTCTGTTTTGTTGCAGGAGGTGTGGTATACACCTTGTCGCTATCGTCACCCTGCAACCGGGTATCTAGAAGAACGACTCCGCAACGTGAGGAAACGTCTGAGAGGCCAGAGACAGCAAAGCAATCCACAGCCATCCCAGTATTCCTCTTCCCGACCCAGTTTTCCACTGCCAGGTTCGTGCTAGGGATAGGCGTTTATGTGCAAAGGGTTTTAGTATGCAAAGGGAATGTTGTACGTTTGCTCTTTAGACAATTTGCACGGCAAAATATTGCTGTGAAATGAAAGGGATAGTTACATTTACATTTATGCATTTGGCTGACGCTTTGCATTTCCAGGGACACATTTACTTATCAGTTCTTGCTTTCCCTGGGAATCGAACCCATGACCAACGCTCTACTATTTTAGATACTTCTATGTCCTATGTCATTCCAACAAGTGTTATTTCTTAGTCTAGAAATGACGTCTTTAGTGAGAAACGACACCAGATCTTAGGCAGAATATCTGATCTGTATTCCAGGTCCTCTGCAGTCATAAGGGAGCTTTATGTAAGGGACACACTGATAATCTTCACCTTAGTTTTCAAATATCATGTTTTTAAATAGATTAAATTTGTTTTTATCATTTTTATTTTGGGATTTTAACCTCAAGATGGAAACCAAAAGTTTTTTTTGGTTAAAAACGTAATGTTTATATTTTTTTTTATCTTTTTTAGATGCATTCACATATATATATACACTATATTGAGTTATGACGTCTGCCTTTACATGCACATGATCTTTAATGACATCCCATTCCTAATCAGTAGGGTTTAATATGGAGATGGTCAAACCCTTTGCAGCTAAAACAGCTTCAACTCTTCTGGGAAGCTTTTCCTCAAGGTTTAGGAGTAGGGTTGGGTATCGTTTGAATTAGAGCCAGACCGATATATCGGTAGGCCGATATTAGGCATTTTCCAAACTATCGGTATCGGCAGTTATAATGGCCGATAAATGAATATTTAAAAAATAAAATAAAAACGGACGAAACACGCTTGAACCATGTCATGAGTGTTGGAGTTGTATAGTTTGTCCACCAGAGGGCACTCTACACCGTTCCTGTTGGCAAGCTAAACGCTCATAGCTAACCATAAAGCTAATGCCAATATCATCAGTCTGTTCTGTTGAGACAATAAAAGAAACAAGTTTCTTTTTAAAATGCATTGTCATATTACATATTATTTTAGTTAAAACTCATAAATAACTCCAAATAACTAATGTTAGGGAAATCTGTTAATGTTTTGTTGCGCGTTTCTGAAATAAAAAAATAAATAAAAAAATATCGGCCGATATATCGGAATATCGGATTTTAAAACCAAAAAATATTTGTATCGCGGTATCGGCCTTCAAAATCCTTTATCAGTCGGGCTCTAGTTTGAATTTGAACGATTCCGATTCCTTGTTTCGATTCCGGTTCCTAACGATTCTCGATTCTGATTCTTTTAAGAGGCAGGGTCAAAAAAGTTTAGCTAACCTTGCTAACCAACAGTCTTTCTGAAGGAAATACTCCTTTAGTCACAAACTTTGCATTTTGCCGAGATTTCGTTATTTTTAGAAAAGTGAAGCCACACTTTGGATCACCGACGTAAGCTACTCATGTTCGACTCGTGCGGTTATGCCAACACTTCCGGTAGACGCTTCTTCGTTGGTGTTGTTCAGCGGTTTCTTCTTCCGCTCGGCGGACTGTGAATATCGAAACTTTTTTTTTTTTTTGGTGAATATCGAAACTAGGAATTGAAATTTTAACTTTTGAACGATTCCGGGAAAAACGAAAAGTTAGTCCCGATTCCAATCGATACTCGAGTCTCGATACCCAACCCTATTTAGGAGTGTTTATGGGACTTTTTTGACCATTCTTCTAGAAGAGCATTAGTGAGGTCAGGCACAGATGTTGGCCTGGCTCGCAGTCTCCGCTCTAAATCATTCCCAAAGCTGTTATATCGGGTCAAGGTCAGGACTCTGCAGGCCTGTCCAGTTCCTCCACACCAAACTCACTCATCCATGTCTTTATGGACCTCGCTTTGTGCACTGAAGCGCAGTCATGCTGGACTTGTTGGGCCAGTGTATTGTTGTAAATTAAGTGGTATATGTCGGCATACTAAGACACATTCCTATCAACTGTATAATCTAAATCTTTGAGTTGACTTTGGAACAGGGACATCCCCAAACTGTTCCCTCAATGTTGGGAGCATGAAGTTGTCCAAAATGTATTAAGAGTTCCTTTCACCGGAAACAACGCCACACCATAATCCCCCTCCACCAATCTTTACTCTTGGCTCAATGCAGTCAGACAAGTACCCTTTTCCCCTCATTGTAATGTGATTTACCTTCAACAGAGTCACAGTTATCTTCAGATGTCATTCAAAAAATGATTGAGTGGCTGAAGAACAATAGAAGCCCTCACAGTCAAGTTATGGAGTTCATGAGACACACAGCCCCTCATCGAGCCGCATGGATTCGATCACTTGGAACAAAAACCGTAGAAGAAATCAATGCAGAATATCCCAGACTTCACGACTCTCCTGGAATGGTGAGAATAATTTTCTGAAGCCTGTAGTAGAAATCCTACATTAATTTAGAAAACAAAAATGCTTCAACTTTATTCATTATATTGTTACTTGCAATCTTGCATTACTATTATTGTTTTTATTTAGATATTACAGGACTTTGAAGTTGTATTCCCTGACCATGCTGACCGCCTTTATGAATTTTGGGCTCCTGTCTTCACTGACCGGATTTTACTTTTCACAAAAAAAGAACCAAAGGCTTCTGACGTCCTTCCAGAAAATCTGGAAGCACTGCCAATAGGTAGGACGTCCTATTAAAATCACACACAGAAGTGCCATTGTTGTGACTGGTTGACTGAGGGTCTAAGTGGTTGAATTTTCAGGAACTGCACGTTAGGGTTAAGGGATTAGTTCAGTTCAGAATTAAAATTTCCTGATAATTTACTTTTCCCCTCATCTTCCAAGATGCTCATGTCTTTCTTTCTTCAGTCAAAAAGAAATGTAAGGTTTTTGAGGAAAATATTCCGAGATGTTAATTTAATGGGGTCCAACGGGTCGAAGGTCCAGATGTGAGTTTCATTGTTAGTGGTGGAAATTTTGATTCTTTCCAGAGACAGTTAGTTCACCAAAATGATTAGTTCAGATTTGTTCTCTAATTCGTTCAGTGACAATTTCTTCATATAACATAAATACTCCAGCTGGGGGTGAAAAAGAGTGTCTTTTGTGCCGTCTTAAGTCAATGGACGTATTTACTTGTTAAAAAAAAAATTAAAAATATTGGACATTGTTAAAAATGAATAAAATAAGTGGTTCAGATGACCAAAGAACAATGTTTTCTTGCATAATTAACATTTTAATTGTTAAGTCAGACGTACACATTCATAAATCTGTGATAATATTAAACGTTGAGTTATGTTAAATATGAATATAAACTATCGTATGTGCACACGATAATGGTGCTTTCATCCACTTTCTGCTGATTGCTGAATGAGATTGAATCACATGCTAAATGTCCGGTCTACCCGGTACTCTCATTCATTTAATTCACGAACGAAATGTACCAGTTCGTTCAATTCATTCAAGAATGAGATCTCTCTTGGTTTAAAATTTTTAGAGAAGTGCATGACATGAATAAATATATCAAAAATATCGATAATACAAAATGAACACAAAACACCAGCCCTTACAGTATAGTAAATTGTTCAAAGTGCAAAATACCACAAAACTTAGTCTAAAACACATGAATAAAATATAAGAGAGACAGGTAAAGAGAAGTGTACGTTTAAATCAAGTAAACAGTCACAAAATGGCAATGTTCATTTTTCTTTGTTAGCCTACATTTAACCATCAGCTTGCGTTTTTAAACTGTTTTTATTTTACTATGGTAAAGTGTACATTTCTTTCTTTGACCCAAATATGGCAACTACACGAGCTGTTCGCCATCATTATCGTACTGGTTATTTTCATTCACGAAAGACATGTACCAGTTTGTTCAACTCGTTCACGAACTAGGGCTGGGCGATATGGCCAAAAAATGATCACGATAATATTTTTTATATCAGTTGATATCGATAATTATCACGATATATGTCAAATCTTTATTTCTTTCAAGTTTTAAGGCAGATTTTGCTCCTAAGTGAAAGTTGTAGAAACCAGAGCATTAATTGTGTTTTTAAACTACTGTTTTTTGTTTTTTTTTGTTTTTTTTTTTTTATGTAACGACCACATTTTTAGTGAGCTCGCGCTGCGCTGCCGTTTGGTCTTTGAGCCGAGCGGATAAATGCTCCGTGTGGCGCGCGCGCGGTTCAAATGAGTTTCGTTCCGCTTTTGGCGCATAAACATTATCGGACATTTATCGACCTCTTGATATCGTTTTATCAAGAAAAATTATATTGCGATAATTATCGTTATCGTTTAATCGCCCAGCCCTAGTTCAGACTCAAAGCAGCTCGGTCACGGTCAGTGAAGGGCGTATTCGTTCACTACATTCAACAAATCACATGCTCTGCCACATCACACTCGAAGGCTATCGGCTCGAGGTTTAAGTCCACAGAGAGACCCGGTTCATTTGTTCACCTAAAAGACTTTTGATTCGTTCACGAACATAACATCACTTACACAGTTACTCACTCATCACAGTTTCAGTGCAGCTTCAAAGTCTCGAGGAATAAGAGTCTCATCTAGACAAACCGGTGGACATTTATAACAAAATACACATTTATATACTTTAACCACTAATGTTCTTCTATCGGTGACAACTGCAAGCTTAACTTTTTTCTGATGTGTTTGCTCTGCAATCTTCTCGTTCAAAGATGTTCGTGGAGAAATTGCCTTGAATTGCCTTCCTGTCATCCTGCCGTCATCGCCATATCGCACAAATGAGAAAATTGTGCGTCCAACATATGCGGAAATGAAGCGCAGCTTCATCGACATTCAGCCCGTGAGTAAAAGCAACACCTCAACATCAGCTGTAGTGAATTACCCTGGATCCATTCCTCCTGTTCAATCCTCACTCTTAGGGGTATTTACACAACACTGCTTTCAGCTAAAAACTTTTTATTTTTATTTATTTACATTTAATTCCACGGCTGACTTTGCTTCGATTCATTCGTAGGGCTGTCACTTTAGTGAAAAATCCTGTTCGATGTCTGAGACACTAGTGTTCATTGAATCGATTGCAAAATCTGAAGACGTTTCCATTTCCAACAGCAGATACAGGCGAATCCACGGACACCTATCAGGCGTTAGGACGAGCGTAAAGAGGCTTGAGACGCACAAGTCAGCAATATTCCTGATCATTTATTGGCGTGATGTTTCGTCACAATGACAAACAGGAGCGCAACATTCAGGGATTGAGATTAACACACTCGACCCGGGAAACGCGGGAAACGCTGTCCAATCACGAGCCAATCAGGCGTGTTTCTGTGTTTACTCACTTTCTTTGCTGGGGAAGTTCGTGTAAGACAAATCTGCGCAAATACACAACTCGTGATCCTCATGGTGCTCTTCGGTCATTTCTGACTGAAAAATTTTCTGTTTTGAATTTTTAAAAATCACAGCTTCATCGCAATGTTACGAAACTTCGTGACTTTTATGGCATTATGTATGTGAACACACAACAAAATTGAGGTCATGATCCGAGCATGCTAAGTGTTCGTAAAAAAATAGTCACACTTGTGCTCTTCGGTCAAAAATGACCGACACTAGGAAATGAATGGGAAATTGTAAAAAAAAAAATTTTGTCTATTTTTTATTCTAAATTTTTTTTAGCCTTTTCTCTTTACTGTAACCAGATGGTGCTAATTTTCTTCAAAAAAATTTTTTTTTCCTGAAGGCCTAGACTCTATATTAGACTAAAATACTGCATTATTTATTTTTTTGAAAAAAATAATATATATATATATATATATATATAGAAAAATATATATATTTTTCCATGACAAAAATAAACCATAAATATTGCATAAATATTAATAATTTCAATTAAATTGTCTTAAAAATACTAAATTAAAAAGAATAAATATTATAGAACAAAAATAAATTGCATTGGTTTTACTGGGATAAAGAGAAAGTTTCATTTTTAGGTGTCCGGTCACTTTTGACTGGAAAGATAACAAGTGTGACTCCGAAACGAAGAGCACCTGAGGGTTAATACAGCGTATCGCAGAATCTGCTCATTTCTGGCTTACTTGAACACACACGTCACTACACAACACATAACGGCACGCTTGTTCACTTGCGTTGAAGTAATAGCGAATATTAAAATGCATTTGGTGAACAGAAAAGACTGTTATTTCCCAGCATCCCACATGTTCTGTGTTGATCTGTCCGACTAACACACATTTTTGGTTAAAAAACAATAAAGGCTGTTTAAATCGATTCCCTATTTTCGTTTTCCAAACTCGCGTTGGTCCGATCGATTGTGCAGTCGATTTCCACACGTAAAGTGACAGCCGTATTTATTTGTACACATGTATTGTGTCCATGTAATATAGTCACATGTCAACTGAACTGCATTCATTGTTTTAAGGTTGGAACTGATATGGTTCATTACCTGGACAGCGAGACGAGCCCGGATCCACATGTGCTGGTGCTCGGGGACAAAGGGAACTTCTCCGAAGTGTTCGTCATTTTCAACGGGGAGGCGATCGAACAGGAGACTTTAGTTCAGGCTGTGGATTTATGTTTCAAAATCTTTTATGTCTACGCCATAAACTATCCAAAGCCGTCTGCTCCCATTTGGGAGTTCTTGCAGTACGCCATCTTTAAAATCCCCGGAGGAGTGCCGTCAACACACTGCTGCCTCCTTAAGAACTTCGTTTTCAATGTCACTGATCATCAGTAGTCCACAGATGCGCTTGTAGATTAGCACCATGTGTTTATAACCCCGTGCAGACACTCGCAAGACTTCATCACCCGCTGGAGCCCCGCCGTCCTCATCCTTCATCTTTAGAAATATAGAATGAACAACTTGTGAATAACCAAAACATAATCATGGGAATTGTGGATTTATCTTTAAACAACATTAAATAAATTAGCTTAATGATGTTCATTCCTCAATTGAATTTTACTTATCGTCAGTGTTGAAGATCAAAAGCTTTCTGGAAATCACATTTGTATGAAGAGAAATAATTGTTATAAAAACTACAAAATTGTTCTTTATGAAACGGACCTTATCTTTTATAAATACTGGGAGATATTTTATTCTAAGGGTGTTATGGTGCTAAAAGGAAAATACTGTCTTGAAAAACTGTTAGTGTTACTGGTAAAAATATAATATTTGACATGCATAAACAAATAAATGAATCAGAATCCATATTAAGATAAAAAACTGTTGCCATAACACCCACACTTATCCAAGACCGCACACATTTATACATTACTGTCAAGGAAATGATTTACTTCGGGTAATATTTTATTTGCTTGATTACGTTTTCAAAAGCATATTAATACATACATTTTGAAAGTCTCAGAAATGAAATAAAATACTGTATAAAAAAATACTACAGGTCTAAAAAGTCAAATGAATTTGTAACGGTTGTTGCGTTTAGTTCGCTGTCAGTTTTCCCGTCCCTTCTAAAAGTAGGACATGAAACACACACACACACACACACAAGACAAAATGTGATCGTTTCTGAGGGTGTGTCTGTGCAAATAAACATGTCATTATAGGCTGAGAATAATTCAGGTATATTGGTCGTGATATTATATCTCCGAATGGATCATGTGATCACATCATTGGTTTGCATGTCTTTCACACACACATACACACACACACTCATTTCGAACAATTTGTGGGTGACATGATGAAAAAACATGGTGCATAAAAAAAAAATGCTATCATTGATCTCATCTATAAATTCATATACAGAGGAAACTTGAAAAAATTAAATATGGTGCAAAAGTTCATTTCAGTTATTCAAACTAATATATAGACTCATTACTTGAAAAGTGAGATATTTCAAGCATTTATTTGTTATAATGTTGATGATTATGGATTACAGCTTATGAAAACCCCAAATTCATAATTAGAATATCGTGAAAAGGTTTTCATATCTGTAATCCATAATTATAACAAATAAATGCATGAAATATCTCACTTTGCAATAAACAATATATTAATTTCACCTTTTAAGTTGAATTCAACACGATATTCAATTTTTTTGAGTTTCGAGTTTCACCTATAATTATTAATGACATTCATAAATCTTTCAAAGTCTTTTCTGCAAGGAGTAGATAAAGTTTGCATTCTTTATGCAACCGCTTATAAAACACAAATTTGTCAGTCCAGAAAAGCACACATTTGAAACGTATGGAAACATTAAATAAGATGTTCACTGAGACGTCCATGTCTGCCAAGATGATGTGTGATCTTTCCACTTCTAGCATCAGCCGTCTAAATCAGATCAAGGACACACACTGAGACTTTCCTTTCTTCAGCGATGCTTTGAGACATTTATTAGCTTTTTCATCATTGCAAAGTTCCCAGCAACACAAACGGGCAAAAAAAAAAAAAAAGATATAATTTGTCAGTTCATTACTTGCTCTTCATTCTCCTTGCATTTGTTTAAAAAAAAAAAAAATCTCATTTACAAAGTACGCGAGTACAGAGTACCGGTCGAGATGGATTTGGCGATCTTTCCATCACTTACGGGTCAGTTTGGGTTTTTTAATCAGCTTGTCTTTCTCCAGCTGGACAAGTGGCAATCATCCTGTTCTTTCATCCATTCCAATGTGAAGAAACGATTAAATATTGAAGATGTTCGCTGACTGCTTTTCCACAGGTTTTGTTATCTTGCTTATGTTTGACGTTTGTGCTAGAACTTAAAAGAGAAAGAAGGTCCCGTAAGGACCGGGAACAACAGAATCACACATAATACTCCTTGTTTTTCTTGGTCTTACTGACGCGACTGGTGTCGTCCACTGGTTTCTCCTTTACGATTGATCCGTTGGACTGGGCCGAGTTGCAGATGTAGTTGCGGCTCTCGTCCACATGGTACGAGCCCTCGTCGCGGTTGCGGTATTTGAACATGGCGTAGAGGAGGATGAGGATGCAGAGAGCGGCGGCGGCGACGATGCCCACCACCATGCCCGTGGTGCTGCTGTCCTCGCGGAACACCTCGGACGGACCCGGATAGCTCTTCGGCACCGGGACGGTGGGGTCAGCTGCGGAAACACATTTACATATCAGCAATACACCCCTTTTCAGTTGGTAAACATGCTGACGTTTTTTTGTGGGCGGAGCTTCGGTGGAGGCAGAACGATCCCTCTGGCCGCTTCACTAACGCTAGTTAGCAAGGATTGTTAGCTTGTTTTATAACAATGACTGGAGAAAATCCGATTTTATCTTAATGTATAAGGTCACAGGACCACGATTGTTATTTCTGAAAGCTATTTAACGGACGGAACCAGATTGGCCGACCCGTAGCCGCCTACACGCTCACTCAATGCATGGACGATCGGACAGGATTAACGTACGTTACCTCGGTTGACTTCTACACCTACCTTATAAAGAAACCGATCATAAATAGAAACTGAGGCCATATAAAACCCAGGCTACAGACGCAAAATGGCTGGCAAAGCGAAAAAGGAGACCCATAAATGTAAGTATTTGTGGCTTTAATAAGTATTGTAACGACAAATAATAATTTGCTTTAAGTTACATTCAATATTATGTTCATATTTACGGTCAGTTTCTTCACAGAAACGTTTGTAAAAAAAAAAAAAAAAAAATTGCTAAAATTATTGTAGTTTGCTAACGATAGTCCCGCAACATATTTTCGTCGTCTCCGTTGTTTCCTGCAAACTTCACAAGATAAATGCAAGAAAATAGCTGTAACCCACGCGACTGAGATAACTGCAGCTGTCGACGGCATCTTGGAAGTTGTGATAAACATCGGCGCATCTCCTGTGACGTAGGCGCTAGCGACGACTTATAATGACGTTTAACGGAGGCGTAGTGGTGTCCTATTTCTTAGGGGAATATTTTCACCCCTACGCATTGCCACTCTGTTTCAAGGGTCAAGGGGAAGGCCAAGGGGTAGGGCTAGGGGAAAGTGAAGGGGTAAGGGGTAGAATTGGGATTGGCCCTAATGACACTTCTCATACCCCTTCGTTTGAAGTGTGCTCCTGAAAAATCTTCGTTTAAAGGGCTATCTGGCCCTTCCCCCTAGCCCTCCCCCTCCAACCAAAAGAGAATTGGGACAGCCCTACCCCTTCATGTGGACGCGCAAAACGGAGGTGCGTACAATCTACAAATCAGCAACGATCTTGAAAAAAAGCACACAACAGTGAAGGGGTGAATCTATAAAACATCAAGAGTGCAAAACAGACACATCCAGACACACATAAACACTTTTATACACAAACACACCAAAAAATTCAGATTCTACATGTGTTTTGCATTTTTAAAATGCTCAGTTTTTCCACCAGATGGCATTCATCTCATTTCAAAAATTGCTTTTATGAGGCCTAGGCTTGACTCTAAAATGAAATACAGCTTTAAAAAAAAAAAAAAAAAAAATGTTTTTAAATATTTTTTCTATTATGTTCAATGGGGGGAAATTTTGTTATAATTATTGCATTAATACTAATTATAATTTTTTTTTATTTTTGAAATTTTCTCAAAACACCAAAAAAGAAAAGAAAAAATATTATAAAAAACGAGTAAAAAAAAAATCATGATTTTTGTTTTTTTTAAATATGAATCCCGCCCTTTGGGTCCATTTGGACCCAAACACCCCAAGTGTGACTCTGAAACGAACAACCCCAAGAGGGTGAAAGGGTTAGTTCACCCAAAAATGAAAATTAAGTCATTAATTACTCACCCCCACGCTGTACCAACCCCGTAAGACCTTCGTTCATCTTCGGAACACAAATAAAGATATTTTTGATTGAATCTGAGGGCTGGATCACTTTTCCATAGACAGCCTGAGGGACTGCCTCTTGACGGCCCAGAAAGTCATTAAAAGAAAAGGTTTAAATATTCCATGTGCCTACAGTGGCTCAACTATAACTTTATCAAGCGACGAGACTACTTTTTGTGCGAAAAAAAAAACGTAAATAACGACTTTATTCGACTTTCCATTACTTCCTTATGGGCGCATGCGCGAGAACTGAGACGAGACCGTTCTTCTTCGACTACTTTTTGTTACCGGCTGCTCACCGCTTAGGAGTTTTACCGCCCCCTACCGTATAAGATGACGTACTGATATAGCCGGAGGCGCAAAACGTTCTGTTTACAAGCAGTACTCCAAACACACACATCTCGTACATCTACGTACATGCGCAAAAACTGTTTCCACTGCAGGTTTTTATATTCCTGTTTCCAAGTTTCTGAAACCCCTCATGCGAGCGTGAAACTGTTTTGAGATATATGGAAGTTTTTGGGGAAGTTGATGTGTTTGCAATTTAAATTTGCACAATTTGAAGGGTAATGGAAACACGGTCAGAAAAAGAATTAATAATGAAGAGCAGACTAACCTAACCCACCTGAGTTCGGCTCGCATGGGTCGATGTCCTCATCGTCGCTCGGGCACTCGGCAGACGCCACCAGCAGATCATCAGTAGTCTGCCAAACATGAAGGAAAGAGAGGTTGAATTTAAACAAACCATTCCCAGATCTAACACTACATTACACATGAAACCAGTCGAGGACCTCAGATCACATCACTGAAATATAGAGACTTTGTGTCCAGTTTTGAACAGCAGCCGCGGCCGCTCGTTCAGGGACCGTAACGAACACTCAATGGCTTATTACAAAACATAAATCAGAAGCCACTGCTAAAATCAGTCTTGTCCGTGTCAAAAGATGAAGCTAATGCCATGCATGTTAGTGTGTGTTATTTATTCATTTCTCTAGTGTTAAAGACGTACTTTTCTCAATGATTTGTACTCATTCTTTTAGATGCAATTACAGCCTTCTCCTTTCTAATCATATTTCTGTCAGGACCGCAATCGTCAAATACGATTGACCATTAGCCTACGGTACGGTTAGGATTGGCGGTCTGGTTCTGTTCTGGACAGACTAGATTTCCTGTATATGTAAATATGTTTAGATCTTCACAGTGAAGGGCAACACTTCTGAAATCTCTGTGTAAACAATGAGTGACGTCCACGTGCGAGAGAGATCACTTCCAGCGCTTGCGCCCGCGCCCTCAGATCAGTTGGACGTGGCTGTGGTTACAAGAGGTAAAACGATATAAATACCGTTGGTTTTCTCACACAAACCGCTCGTTTCGTGTCTTAGGCCATCAATGTGTTCTTACATTTACGAGTCATTAAATTTTGACTTCTCTGTGCATGCTCTTTGAGGTGGTGACCATAGACCTCCATTATATGACTGACAGACAACAACGGCTTGACCTAAAAATATCAAAAATGAAAATGCTGCGGAAACAAAGACACCTACATCTTGGATGCCCTTGAAGTACCGAAAAATTAATTTCAAAGTGAAAGACTGCAACCCTGAGGGCCTTCAACTGTACACACTCGTCAAGGCTAACCGTTTACATGACTGACTTTTCTTTATTCTGTATATATGCTTCGGTTAGTTTAGTTGTATGTATCCTTAGACGCATTTATTAAAAAATCAACACATTTTTTAGGAAAGCCGCAATTTTGGGCTACAAAAATCTGAAAAAGTCCTGTGAAATCCTAACGGGACTGGCAGAGCATACAGGTGAAACTCGAATATCGTGTTGAATTCAACTTAAAAGGTGAAATTAATATGTTATAAAGACTCGAAAGATATTTCATGCATTTATTTGTTATAATTGCGATGATTATGGATTACAGATATGAAAACCTTTTCACGATATTCTAATTATGAATTTGGGGTTTTCATATCTGTCATAACTTATAACAAATAAATGCTTGAAATATCTCACTGTGCATGTAATGAGTCTATATAATATATTAGTTTCATCTTTTAAGTTGAATTACTGAACTTTAGCAGGATATTTAGCAGGAACTTTATTTAGGACAGGAGAGAGCGAGGAGCTTCTGACCTGCTGGGGTTCTCCCGCTGAGGTGTGTGTGGTCTGGTGGGTGGAGGTGGAGGTCTCCATCACTGAGGTAGAGGTCTCAGAGCGAGGAACCGTAGCACTGGACTGCGGTGTCATGGAGGAAGACTGCGACTCCCCAACCAGCCTCACGCTGCCTTCCATCCGGATGTTGGGATCTCCTTCCACAGCCATGTTGAAAACCTTCAAGCCATTGTAATAGAAACCAGACATCTGTCCCTGGAAGGAGCGGCTGTGGTCTCGCTCCCAGCCGCCGATCTGGATGGTCATCTGGCTGTTGAAGATCGTGAGCTGGCGGCCTGTGGGAGAACACCGTCACTGAGATAAACAACACTCGGTGCGGATCCACCAGACAAACAACAGTCAATGCGGATCCATGAGATAAACAATGGACTGATGGAAATAATCACGCCTGAGAAAAGGTGGATTATTCAGGTATCATCGCCGTCATGGAGGGATGCTTATGAAAACAGACATAACACAACAGAAAAACAATACATTTAAGCAGTGGTACTTTGCTAAAAGGCCTCTTTAACCCTCTGGGGTTGTTCGTTTCAGAGTCACACTCGGGGTGTTCGGGTTCGGCAAAGTGCGGGATTCATATTTAAAAAAAAAAATTTTTACTTGTTTTTTATAATATTTTTTCTTTTCTTTTTTGGTGTTTTGAGAAAATTTTAAAAAAAAAAATATATATATAATTAGTATTAATGCAATAATTATGACAAAATTTCCCCCCATTGAACATAATAGAAAAAATATTTTGAAAAAAATATATTTTTTTACATTTTTTTAAAGCTGTTTTTCATTTTAGAGTCAAGCCTAGGCCTCATAAAAGCAATTTTTAAAATGAGATGGATGCCATCTGGTGGACAAACTGAGCATTTTAAAAATTCAAAACACATGTATAATCTAAATTTTTTGGTGTGTTTGTGTATAAAAGTGTGTGTGTGTCTGGATGTGTCTGTTTTGCACTCTTGATGTTTTATAGATTAACCCCTTCACTGTTGTGCGTTTTTTTTCAAGATCGTGGCTGATTTGTAGATTTTACGCACAAAAAAACTCAGTATTTTCACATTTTTGCCAATTTCCCATTCATTTTCCATGCGGGTCCATTTGGACCCGGACACCCCAAGTGTGACTATTTTTTTTACAACCACTTAGACTACTCACATCCTGTCCCCAATTTTTTTTTTTGGGTGTTCAAATACCAAATACCAACAAAATCACCGAATTTCAGACCATTTCGAGGAAGCTGTGATTTTTAAAAACATTTTATTTAAATTCTTCGGGTCCATTTGGGCCGAACAACCCCAGAGGGGTAAAAAATATCATCTGGGAACAGTTGGTTTAGCCTGTACAGTACATATTCAGCCAGAAGAAGAGGGGAAAGATTATTTAATGGCCTCTGTCATCATAGAGATGAAAATATATCCATCATGGCAGATAACTGTCCATCTGAAGGCAGCTTGCTAACTTTATACTCTTATAAATGACTGGTTTTAATGTCGTGTGGGTGTTCGAGCACAACAATAACAGATATGCCTTTTAGCAAGAGGAGTGGGTCGGATGCAAAGGTATGGTCATGAAACAAAAGAAAACTGAAGAATAACTCGATTCAAATCAACAACAGAGGCACATTTCATATAAAAGATCACATGATTAAACATGCACTTCAGAATTATTGTACATCAATGGAGAGTCATTTTCATAACTGCATGTAACATTTTGTTAAAGGGACTCGTGCTAATTTATATTACATAATTATTATCTAAATACTATCTATTTATCTAATGTGTACACATATACGACAATTAAAAATAGTTACACAATCAGAATTATTGTTTTAATTTGGACATTTTGATTTTATCATTTAAAAGTTTAAATTACATTAAAAACATTTTCTCTTTTTTATATATCAAGGTTATTCAAACTTCAGTCCCTTTAACCGAAAGGTATGATATAAACTAGTTAATACAGTGTCCAATAATTACAAGCTACATTTATCTATTTAAATTGCTTTCATTTATTGTTTAAATGGTTTATTTTACATACAACATACTAAAAATTATTCTAAGTTTTATCAGTGTTTTTACCTTTGTCGAGTAGCCATTCGTCAACTACTCGACCGAGCCGAAATGGGAATCGCTGTCTGGCGATCGCCAGCCGTTCGCTATCAATGCTTCCTTTAAAGTTTAAAGAGACATTTCATTGGTTACAATCCAAGATCATGGGAGATTTAAAACTGATTATTCGAGCTGTTCAGTTTTTAAGTTGACATATTATATTTTACACTCCATTTTAGTTTATATGAACAGTTGACCTCATATGTTTGTTTTTAAACCCCATGCAGAATTTATACAAACATTAGAAATATACATTAAGATTTTTTTTATTTATTTATTTAGTATTGCCCTTCAGAAGCTGCATAAGTTATTGTCATGTTTTTTACAAGACAGCGTTTCCACTACATTAGCTCCTAATATAACATGCTGGTAATATAGCGTGATGTCCACCAGAGGGCACTCATTCCCATCATGCCAACTACATTTCCAATAACCCATTGCCTGTGAGCCGCGTTTCCATTACCCTTCAAATTGCACAAATTAATTGACAATAAACACGTCAGTTTCTCAAAAACTCACATATCGCAAAAAAAGTAAAAAAAAAACAAAAACTGCAATGGAAACAGTTTTTGTGCATTTACAGGTCACCTGACCTAAAGTAGTAAAGGTCGATCGTTCTTTAAAGAACATAAAGGGGTGTATAAGTATAATTTTCTCTCTTTGCCGTTAATTCTTGGATAACACACCTGCGTCTTTTTCGGCGGTGACTGGGATATACATACGGGTTGGAAAATCAAGCGTAGCGTCAGTTCTGGTGGGTCACGTTAGTCGAGTGACTCTTAGCCGATCCTCTAGGAATACGACTCTATCACTGTATTCATATATAATCTCTTCAGTATTACGTATTACGCAGCGATGGCGTTTCTCAAGAGCGATTACCCTCCTCCCTCCCCAGCTCCTCCTGTCTCAGTCAGGGTTTGGCCTTCTCATTCCCCTCCAATCAGAATACACATTCATTTATGTTAGGATTACTTTATTACTAATTTGTGATCAAGGATATTATCCTAGGTCTTTATGACCATTTAATGCTGGCTTTCATTTTAATTTGGAATTCCAATTAAAAGTTGTTTACTAAAATGATGCTAACGGTAGGGTTGACAATTCAAGAGAACAAACAGTGAGAGCTGACAATAGCTTTTCATTTTTTAAGTGATTATTTAGACATATCTTGTTAGCACAAAAGCACATAGTTTCCTGAAAATTCACAAAACATTCACATAACATTTACTGAATATGTATTGAACGTTTACTGTACCTAAACAACGGTGTAAAGGCAAACTTTGTTTGAAATTCCTAATTAAAACGGTCTTGCTAAAGAAACACAACTCATGTGACACAAAAATACTGCTGACACAATATGATTAGAAACACTTCATCTCATAATGTGGCTGTTGCCTGGCTATGAATCGGACTGATTAAGTCCATCTTTACATTTAATTATGAGCAAGTTAAAGTATAAATGAATCCAACACCTCTAAACAGTGCCGTTGTCAAAACCTTTTATCTTGTTAAAGGGTTTGTTCATCCACAAATGAAATTTCTGTCATTAATTACTTTATTATTAATATAATATCTACTACATTAATTGTGTCGTTCCAAACCAGTAAGAAATCATGTTTTTGATAGCAACGTCATTGCAAATTTTAAAGCCCAGAGAGCTAGTAAAGACATCATTAAAATAGTCCGTGGGACTCCAGTGGTTCAAAGCGACGAGAATACTTTTGTGCACGCAAAAAATCAAACAAAAAAAAACGACTTTATTCAACAATTTCTTCTCTTCCGTGTCAGATCTCCTACACTATTCGGGTCGTAAACAAAGTTCAGAGCTTCCGGGTTCTACGCCAGATTGGTGCCTCGCTATTGGCCGACGCTGGTCACATGATCACCGCGACACAACCATGTGATGCTGACGCAGGAGCAGCCAATAGTGAGCCGGCGTTCTGCTGTAGGAGCGTAGGAGGCTGACGTGGAAGAGAACAGAATGTTGAATAAAGTCTTTATTTTTTTTAAAAGTCACATGGACTATTTTAACGATGTCTTTACTATCTTTCTGGACCTTGAAAGTGGCAATGATTTTGCAGTCTATGGAGGGATCAGAAAGCTCTCGGATTTCATCAAAAATATCTTAATTTGTGTTTCGAAGATGAACGATGGTCTTACGGGTTTGGAACGACATGAGGACGAGTAATTACTTAGAGAATTTAAATGTTTTAAATGGCCAAAATGACCCAGTGAGCATTAACCTAGTTAACGAACATGTGGAAAAGAGCCTAATTCTGCTTTCATGTTCAGAATTCAATAGAATTCAATGCAAACACAAAGTAAGCGTGTTCATCTCAGACAGGTGTAGTCGAGGTGTTTCTCACCTGTGGGGAATCGCTCAATAACAGGAAGATCGTCCACCTGCAGTGTCGCGTTGCCGCCACTTCTTGTAAACTTCACTATGTGGTATTTTCCATCATTCACAAACTTTGATTTCTCCTCTATGTTGATGTCATCTGTGCCCACATTAAATATAGCCGTAACGTAACCTTTTACCTGGAGAAAAACACAGAGAAACAGGTTGTAGCATTAGTAACATTATAATCCATCCCACACTCTTCAGGTCACGCCGAAGCGTCTCAATGTGGTTACGGTCAACTGGCCATCCCAGAATATTGACCTTGTTCTTTTTAAGCCCTTGTTTTGTTGATTTCTTGTGTGCTTTGGATCACGGTGTTGTTTAATGCACTGGAGATGTGTGTGTGTGCCTTTCCCAATCAATTCCAATCCACGACTCATAGGAACATCTCAAAGAAGATCCAGAGAAATGGGATGCATTTGTGCAGAAATGGGGAAGGTTTCCTGGAGCCACGTTGCATTTTAATTACAGTAAAATTAACCCCAAACTCTGGGGTTAACTGAGTTTGCTGAGTTTGTGTTTACTGAGTTTAATGAATTAACTGAGTTTGTGTAATCTGTTTTCTCTTCTTCAAAGATCAGTCAGATATTGGGCCCTATCTTTCATCATTCCTATTTTGCACCCGCTTAAAGCAGGCTTTTTTCCTCCAAAGACGCACGTCGGTAAACTATATGAACTTGCGCTCCTAACCCTAACCCTAACCCATTACATCCAGAGAGGGGGGGCTAGAGGTCAAGCTCCGCCCGAATGATAACTGAGGGCAAATTTGGCTAGTAGTATGGAGAAAACATAAAGCATGTTGAGAGAAAGTGTCAAATGTGTCGAAAGACTAGAAATCAAGCTCCACCCATTACATCCAGAGAGGGGGGCTAGAAGTCAAGCTCCGCCCATTACATTTAGAGAGTGGGAGCTAGAGGTCAAGCTCCACCCATTACATCCAGAGAGCGGGAGCTAGAGGTCAAGCCCCACCCATTACATCCAGAAAGTAGGAGCTAGAGGTCAAGCTCCGCCCATTACATCCAGAGAATGGAAGCTAGAGGTCAAGCTCCGCCCATTACATCCAGAGAGTAAGCTAGAGGTTAAGCCCGACCCATTACATCCAGAAAGTAGGAGCTAGAGGTCAAGCTCTGCCCATAGCTCCTGCCCAAAACTATATGTGTATGGCAATATCTGAAATCATTGCCCTTGTGAGGACATTTTTAGTCCCTGTGAGGAAAACAGCTTATAAATCATACTACCAGTATGTAATGTTTTTTGAAAATGTAAAAATGCAGAAAGTTGTTGTAAGGGGAGAGAATATACAGTTTGTACTGTATAAAAATCATTATGTCTATGGAAAGCTTGGTCTTGTGGGGACATTTATTTCTGGTTCATATGGATGGATTATTTTTAAGTCTACCTGAGAATTTGATCCAGTGAGGATGTTGAAATGTTCTCTTGTGATACAGGTTTGTTCTTCGGGACACAGAGTGTATAAACACACACAGGTGATACAACGTCTAAAAGCAATTTTGAGAACAGACTTGCACAGTTACTATGGAAACAGCAGTGACAGTGATGAGAGAGGGAGGGGAGGCTCTAACAGTGGACACACACACACACACACACACGATTAATAATGTCGAGTGTATGTATGATAGCATAATCACCGTATCTCATGAGCCCAGAGTAATCTGAGTGTGACACGGGGGGGTGAACGCGGCAGTGGCGTGCCAGAGTCGCTGTGCTGTTCGGGGCTCGTGGGTTCATGTGCGTGTGTGTGAGATGCGCAGCAGCGGCGGGTCTGATCTCTAAGTTCGTGTCAATGGGCAGGTGTTTAATTGGTGTGCTGGGAATCGCGTGCGACAGACTTCCCAGCGGAGACACGGCAAGAATAAACATACGCACAGTAGCTCTGGAAAAACAAGGATGGCAGACACGCAGAAAACAACAGCAATGAGCTTTCAGATGAATTAGCAATCACAGATGGAGTTTAACAGATTCATATCCACCGCAAGTTTGCAGTCACAGGACAGAAAGCAAAAAGCATGCACCTTGACTTCTCAAACTGTCTCTTGTTTAGTGTTCCTGAAGGGAATTCAAGGTTCAGGAGCTTGTGGATCAAATCTACACTTCACAACCTGACCATTCTCGGCCATGTGTACGGCATTGCATATTACAGTTTGAAATTATACTTTTAAAAATATTGTTGGATTGTTTCGCTAGTATGTAGCATTAAAAAATGTACATTGTTTAAAATTAGTTTGTATTAATGATTTCTGTGTTTTTCCATTATTTTATTACAGGAATTATTGTTCATTAGTTGCATTTACAAGTTAACAACTTAAAATGTATAATGAGCACATCATCATTTTCTTAACATTTGCTTTAGGAACATTGCATCCGATGTGTTCACTTTACTTAAAGCCATCAACGCTGCAAGTTACTGCATTATTACTCACAATAAGTATTCATAAGAACACAACACGGCTATTAATAACAATGTATTCACTTATTTGACAGATATAAATCTAAATTACTAAAAACTAATTGTAACTATCATATAATTATATTATAGTTTTTTTTTTTTTTTTTTTAACCTTTATTTATCCAGGTAAAATGTTTGAGAACCACTTCTCATTTACAAACATGACCTGGCCAAGAGGCTACAGGAAAAAATAAGAACGTACAGCTGTACATACACATAACACTTAGAACAAGCAGCTAAATAAAAATAAAAAAAGACAACAGAGAGGAAAAAGAAAACGAATAGAGTGCTTAAATATGTGTATAAATATGGTTTATGATCGTCAGCAGGAACAAGAGTCAACTATGTAATTTTCGAGGTTTTGCTTAAAGGTGGAGATTGGGATCAGAGATGTAAGTTTCAGGGTATTTTATGTAAAGCTTCATCCTGAAGTATCCCTTTAATGTAAATGCCCTCCCCAATTCAATGTTATATTTTTCTTCCTATATTTCGAGCAGTAATCTCACTCTCTTCTTCACGTTCGTCTTCAGCGCGTCCCATATCTCTGGCTTGTTTTAACGTGCTGTTAACAAGCTTCGTAATATTTGACACAAATTTCATTTCGGGAAATGATTGCAATAAAGTTTGTGTGCAAGTCCAGACTAGAGATTAGCCTAAATGAAGCTTAAAAACTGTGTGTCCGAAGCACAAACCGGCAGTTTACAGTGCATTTATTGGCAAATATTGGCACTTGCACAAATGCTCCTAAACAAATTGAGGTTGTACAGATTCAATTTTCGGGAGCATATGTGAAGGTCGCAATTATGAGCCTTGGTTCATGAACAACTCATCATCTCACACCTTCTCCTACACTTCTACTGGCACTCACACACACATATCAACACATCTCTCCTCACCGTGTTCAAGCGGCTGCGGGAAAAAACCTTCTCTAATCACTTAAATCATAGAAAGTTAGAGGCCTGACTTTCTCCTCCAGTTCATAGCTAAAGCCTAGTTCACACTACATGATTTTAAAATGTCGGGCTGAACTGTGCAGTTCACACTACATGACTTGCTCTCAGTGAAATCATGAGTGTTCAAGTTGTTTAGCTGTTCACACCACACAACACAACGTGATTGATCCACAACAGGAGGTAACTCACTACACGAGTTAACAACGCACTACATAGAGATACAACCACGATCGGATGATAAGAGCATATCATTTGTGACTCAATGAGAGCTGTTTCAGTACTATAGTACGGTCTAAATCCTGAAAATAATCAAACAAATAACGAGTTGACAACAACACGATTCTATCTGGTCTAGAAACCATGTTTTGTCACGAAAAACCACGCAATAAAACGAACCAAAAATGACGCGAAACTGCAGAGAAGCACACAACACGCGAATATGGACGTCAGACAGAAACTAGTGCTGCACACTGTTTGCTCGACGATCTGCTCTGAGAAAAAAAATGCGAAAAAGATTTACCTGGTGTCCTCAACCCATATGATTGGCTGTACTCATGACATCACTGAGATTGAGTCGCGCGACTGCTCGAGATATCTAGCATGCTAGATATTTTTCTGAGCTCGGTGACCTGTCTGCGAGGTGTCTGCGAGCTGTCTTTGATGCGTTGTTGGCTCTTTCACACTAACGGATTGGCGATCGTTAATCGTCCGCTAATCGCCCGCGATTTGCACGCGATAACACCCTGACTTGTCGGCGACTCAACGATTTGCAAATCGGGCTTAAATCGGGCTTAAAATCACGTAGTGTGAACTAGGCTTAAAAAAACACGGTTGAAAACAACTCTTTTTCACAGAACAACCGGGCTGGACAACAACTAATCAGGGTTGTGTGTCCAGTCAACAAAGCCTGCCTTGTTATCGGTCACTGAAGCGCTGCCGACTGAGAAAGCCGTTCCCTCATTCTGCTAGATCATCTGTAGCTTTTGACTCTCAAAAATACTCTCCACTGGTTTGAATCTTACCTCAGGTCTTTCAAGGTCACCTGGAGGGAGTAGATGTGTAAAGCACATCAGGGGTACCCCAAGGCTCTGTTCTGGGACCCCTCCTTTTCTCCACATTCACTACATCACTGGGACTCATTCCACAGAACATGGTTTCTCATGCAGTTCCTTTGCTTTTCATTTCAACCACACAATCTCAAAATAGCTGCACAGATCTCAGACTGCCAAGCAGACATCTCAGCATGGGTGAAAGAACATCACCTGCAACTCAATCTAGCGAAGGAGGAGCGGTACAGCAGTTCACTATCCACATAGAGTTCAAAAGACTTTTTAATGTTTTTAAAAGAAGTCTCTTGTGCTCACCAAGGCTGCATTTATTTGATTCAAAATACAAAAAAAAATATTTTTAGAATATAAAATTCACATTTTCTATGTGAATATCTAGTCAAGTGTAATTTATTCCTGTGATCAAAGCTGAATCTTCAGCATCATTACTTCAGTCTTCAGTGTCACATGATCCTTCAGAAATCACTCTAACATGATGATTTGATGCTCAAGAAACATTTATGTTTATTATCAGTAAAAAAAATAAATAAAAAAAATCAAGATTCTTTGATTAACTGAAAGTTAAAAGGAACAGCATTTATCTGAAATAGAAAGGTTTTTTAACATTGTACCCTGTGTTCAAAGGTTAGGGGTCAGAAGGGGGGAATAACTCAGCAAGGAAAGTTACTATGAATGACATTTATAATGAGAAATGAAATATAATAAAAAAATTAACATTTCATAGGGCCCTATTATTGTATCCAAATTAATAAATTAGGGTTGTTTTATGAATTCAATTACTGATATGTTTTTGATTAATCTACTAAAATGGAATATGTGCAATAATTTGGAAAAAACTTTTTGTTCAACTGTAAATAAGTTGCTGTTAAATTGAACAAGTTTCATGATTTCAATTAATTACACATGCTTTTGATGAATACAATTTTACTATTGTCTTCTGCATTTTGTTTTCATAAGTGATGCATTTTACACCGGTTATGTTACACCTGCTAACACTTCTTTTGTCATTGCCTCCTTAAGATGTAAGAATCGAGTGTTGATTTCCACATTGTAAGTTTCTGTAAATAATAGCATCTGCTAAATAAATACATATGTTATAAGCAGCTGAAATGTTCAGCAGAAAGCTTCTTTGCAAAATTGAACTCTGCCTCACTGATTATTATCACTGTAAAGCGTAATTTAAAATGAAAATCCAGCGTTTAATCGCTGGTGTTTCTGAGGTCACAAACGAGCTTGTAACCAATCAGATCAACGTGTGATCATCAACCAGTGGATCTCTGAGTGGAGGCAGGGCTCATTTGCATATTCATAGAACCGCACATACTAAATGAGGCGAGGGTGTCGAGTTACATTCAAGATATTTTAAGGCATCAAAGAAAACACATTTAAATGAGTCATTTTGATGATCAAATATGAGATGGATAAAATTATTGACCACATGGAGACTTAAGTAATGGTTGCTTGACTTCTTTTGTTTCTGTTTTGTCATCTTTTTTTCAGTGTAAGGAAAGTATGAGTACATGGGTAACAAGACTGTAAAAGGAAGTGTTACCAATGGATCAATAAATCATTGTAAATGCAATAATAATGGAATATACTTTTTTAATTTTCAATAGAAAATTCTGCTACAGATAATTGTTGTACTTACGATGTGTAGTTTGAGATAGTCCCCTAGCCCAGACGAGCTGTTGACTCGCACCAGTACGGCTTCTGTCAGCTGAGTGCTGAAGCCCATGGCCAGCCGGTCCGCTCGCGTGCTCGGACGCTCGTTCGTTGGCCATGTGTATGTGATCAGACCTCCATCTCTCCCGAATATATACGTGATGCCGGCTGCAGGACACACAGATGTGCAAACACACAGAGAGATTAGGCTAAATCTGTGAGCGGGTGGGTGGGTGGGTGGGTTGATGGGTGGATGGGTGGGTGGTTGCGTGGTTGGATGGGTGGTTGGATGGATGGGTGGATGGATGGGTGGGTGGATGGGTGGTTGGGTGGATGGTTGGATGGGTGGATGGGTGGATGGATGGATGGGTGGGTTGATGGGTGGATGGGTGGGTGGTTGCGTGGTTGGATGGGTGGATGGATGGATGGGTGGGTTGATGGGTGGATGGGTGGGTGGTTGCGTGGTTGGGTGGGTGGTTGGGTGGGTGGATGGGTGGTTGGGTGGTTGGATGGGTGGATGGATGGGTGGGTGGATGGATGGATGGGTGGGTGGTTGGGTGGGTGGATGGATGGATGGATGGGTGGATGGATGGATGGATGGATGGATGGATGGGTGGGTGGATGGATGGATGGATGGGTGGGTGGTTGGTGGGTGGTTGGGTGGGTGGTTGGGTGGGTGGTTGGGTGGGTGGATGGATGGGTGGATGGATGGATGGATGGGTGGGTGGGTGGTTGGGTGGTTGGATGGGTGGGTGGATGGATGGGTGGGTGGTTCGGATGGATGGGTGGGTGGATGGATGGGTGGATGGATGGGTGGATGGATGGGTGGATGGATGGATGGGTGGGTGGGTGGTTGGGTGGTTGGATGGGTGGGTGGGTGGATGGGTGGGTGGTTCGGATGGATGGGTGGGTGGATGGATGGGTGGGTGGTTGGGTGGGTGGATGGGTGGATGGGTGGGTTTGGGTGGGTGGTTGGTTGGTTGGGTGGGTGGATGGATGGGTGGGTGGGTGGGCGGATGGATGGATGGATGGGTGGTTGAGTGGGTGGATGGGTGGTTGGATGGGTGGGTGGTTGGGTGGATGGGTGGGTGGGTGGGTGGATGGATGGTTGGGTGGTTGGGTGGATGGGTGGGTGGATGGTTGGGTGGGTGGTTCGGATGGATGGGTGGGTGGATGGGTGGTTGGATGGATGGATGGATGGGTGGTTGGGTGGATGGGTGGATGGGTGGACTCTCTTAGTGGGCACTTACCTTTTCTATTATATACTATTCGAATTGTTGTTTTGCAGATAAAATAAAACCTGACTATCTGTACTGTGCTAGACTGAGACTTGTTACAGCATTGTTGTTCTCCTTTGTTGTTCATTGTTGTTTGTCGCTTTGGACAAAAGTGTCTGCTAAATGATTCATTGTAAATGTAAAATAGTTAATTAAAGTGTTTTTGACCTTGGACGCATGTAAATATGCCTGTAGGAGATTCCGAAACAACATCTGCAGTCATTAAAACAGCATAATAGGGGTATTTTAATGGAGAAAATAATCCAAAATTCACATCCTGCCAGGTCAAGTTGTCCTACTCAGTATGTCCTACTTCATTCTAGGGTTAATCCGTCAAACAAAAACATAAAGTCTTTCACTCTGTATTTTGTCTAATAAGCATTTATTAATGCAGATCAAAACAATGTGGCTTCCATCATTTGTTCTTTTCTCTCTTTTCTTCAAAGTCGACAACTTTGTTATTCAACAGTCGCACCGGTTGCTCCAGACGAGCACAGAGGAAGGAAGGAATAATCACACAGAAGGCAAGTCCCTGAATTTCAAGACAACGGGGTGGAAAAAATATTGCAAGAATCAATCCTGCTATTACTAACAGAAAGATAACAGATTTCTCTGCATTGTTTGATTTATTTTTGTAGGATTTAAGGTAAAGTTATCTGATTCTTTGTTAAAACCCTCGCTTTCTTTCCAAAAAGGCAATGTGGGTCTGCAGTTTGCACAGGGAGCGCAGCTATAGTCAGGTGATTGGTCGGATTAATCTGGTCATGTGGTTGAGGACTGAATAAAAGAAGATTATAGTAAAGCTTTTCTCTTTTCTCTGAGGTCTGCTTTTTGATTCTCCTTTTGTGCTTCTGCCTTCTGGGCAACTGGCTTAAAGGCCTTTAGATCCGAATCAAGCTCTCAATGTAATCTCTCGCATCGCTTCTCAATCACTTTTAAAGAAGAATCTCACCAAGACACCATGAACATGCCCTGCTCAGAAGAACGGGAAAACGAAACTGCTATAAGGTAATAATATGATGTGAATCGTACAAAATGTGCAATTATTTGAAAAAAGCATGAAGGTCCACCCCTAAACATACCCGTCACTGGGGTTGTAGCAGATTGAGATTGTGTGAATACATACAAATTATAATTTATAAATTATAGCTTCCTTGCCATAATCAACATGCCCCAGTCCTCAGAAAACCTTCAACCAACCCTAAAACCAGTTCTCTTCAAAGGCCAATATTACAATCTCACCAAGAGACTGAGTCTGAGTATTTCTCCTGTGTTTTATGCATGTCCTTATGTTTTATTAGCCTGGTTAAGATTCTTTTGTTATGTTAGAGTAACTTCAAATATCCAAATATCCACATATCTCTGGTTGATATCCAAAGATGATGCATCACTGCTTTAATGTCTTCAAACCCCCTCTTTCTTGGTATCAAAAGAATCCTCTTTTGATTTTATAATCAATTTGTACAATATATTCTCCACCAAATCTGTAACGAATTACAGTTTAAAACATCTGTTTATATATATAATTAATTTGAATGAATTATAATAAATTATAAATACTTAAAGGAACACTCTTTGGGTCTTATTCTATGAAACATCTTGGTATTACCCCTGTTGATTGTCGCAGCTCTTTACAATTCAACAAACACCCATGACTGTGAATTATGCTGTTACTATCTAGTAATTGCTGAATCTATAGTCCTACTCTGAGCGAACTCTCTGCTCCTCATGATGGCTGTGTCTCATAAGACCTTGTTATTTGTACACTCTGTGACTATACAAATCACAACATGTAAATAGGAAAATGTAATGTTTGTTATTTTTGTCACTTAGTTGGGATTAGTATGCTAGCTGTAGCCTTATATCTCACAATTCTGACTATATCTCACAATTCTGACTATATCTCACAATTCAGACTTTATATCTCGCAATTCTGACTTTATATCTCACAATTCAGACTTTATATCTCGCAATTCTGACTTTATATCTCACAATTCAGACTTTATATCTCACAATTCTGACTTTATATCTCGCAATTCTGACTTTATATCTCGCAATTCTGACTTTATATCTCACAATTCTGATTTTATATCTCACAATTCAGACTTTATATCTCACAATTCTGACTTTATATCTCGCAATTCTGACTTTATATCTCACAATTCAGACTTTATATCTCACAATTCTGACTTTATATCTCACAATTCTGACTATATCTCACAATTCAGACTTTATATCTCGCAATTCTGACTTTATATCTCACAATAGCAACTTTATATCTCCCAATTCTGACTTTATATCTTACAATTCTGACTTTATATCTCACAATTCAGACTTTATATCTCGCAATTCTGACTTTATATCTCACAATTCTGACTTTATATCTCGCAATTCGGACTATATCTCACAATTCTGATTTTATATCTCACAATTCAGACTTTATATCTCACAATTCTGACTTTATATCTCACAATTCAGACTTTATATCTCGCAATTCTGACTTTATATCTCACAATTCAGACTTTATATCTCGCAATTCTGACTATATCTCACAATTCTGACTTTATATCTCACAATTCTGACTATATCTCACAATTCTGACTTTATATCTCACAATTCTGACTTTATATCTCACAATTTAGACTTTATATCTCGCAATTCTGACTTTATATCTCACAATTCTGATTTTATATCTCACAATTCAGACTTTATATCTCACAATTCTGACTTTATATCTCACAATTCAGACTTTATATCTCGCAATTCTGACTTTATATCTCACAATTCAGACTTTATATCTCGCAATTCTGACTATATCTCACAATTCTGACTTTATATCTCGCAATTCTGACTTTATATCCCACAATAGCAACTTTATATCTCACAAATTTGACTTTATATCTCACAATTCAGACTTTATATCTCGCAATTCTGACTTTATATCTCACAATTCTGACTTTATATCTCACAATAGCAACTTTATATCTCACAATTCTGACTTTATATCTCACAATTTAGACTTTATATCTCGCAATTCTGACTTTATATCTCACAATTCTGATTTTATATCTCACAATTCAGACTTTATATCTCACAATTCTGACTTTATATCTCACAATTCAGACTTTATATCTCGCAATTCTGACTTTATATCTCACAATTCAGACTTTATATCTCGCAATTCTGACTATATCTCACAATTCTGACTTTATATCTCACAATTCTGACTTTATATCTCACAATAGCAACTTTATATCTCGCAATTCTGACTTTATATCTTACAATAGCAACTTTATATCTCGCAATTCTGACTTTATATCTCACAATTCTGACTTTATATCTCACAATAGCAACTTTATATCTCACAATAGCAACTTTACATCTCACAATTCTGACTTTAAAACTCGCAATTATGAGATAAATTGTTTTTTATCTTTAATTATTATTTTATTCAGTGGCAGAAACAAGCTTCCATGCATCAGTGTTGATCCAGGATTCAACAACTTGACCCAACCTAATGAATGACAGTGTGAACTATTTGTGAGCCTTATTAATCTATATACTTATAGAATAAAATCTGAGCCACAATCATAAGATGTGTCTCGGAAATATTGTCAAGTCTCCTGAAGCCAACAATCACAATCACAAAAACAATCCAAGTTTGACTTAAAATGAGAACCACTGTACTACAGCAACAATCTTCAACTCGTCAATGCAGTGCAAGCTGTAAAAGTAAGTGAACCTTTGACTGTAGTGACATTTAACTCCTCCTTTAGCGCCACAACCGCGCTTCGCTACCTATAAGACTCGCACAAAGTCGAGGATGAACTTTCGACCATTCCTCTTAACAAATTCGCAATGCCTTTACCAGATTAATGCATCTCTGTAATG